AAATCTAAATCAACGCTGTTTTTTATCGTCGATTTTATGGAGTTCATTGGCCAAAACTTTTTGTGGAGATCGTTCCATTGTTCAAGTATCAAGTTTTCTGACTTTTGGATGTAATATTTGGAATTCCCCCACTCCACTTCTTCTAAAGCTTCATCAAGTTTGACAAATTTGTTCACCCATGCAGAATTTTCTTGAAATTCTCTCAATTCCATTTCCAAATTGTCGGTTTTACAACAAACTCAAAAAATGTCACTTTAATCATCCATTTTAGTAAAGTGAGGTCTTGAAATAAAGCACAATGTTTTCTCCAGATTCTGAAATTGAGAAAATCTTGCTGATACTATTTCCTTTTAATTTCTAAAATATCTAAATAGCTTTTAAATATATTTTCTATGTCTTTGGAAGATAATTTATTGGTAAAACTGGATGTCAGTTCTAAGTGTCTTTTAAGTGAAGGAAAATATTTCAACCTCTTTGCTTCAATATCGTTAAAGAATACATCAAGTATTACAGAATCTCAAGTGAAATAGATCGCAAACAATCTATTTGCAATTTGTCCTTTTCCTTTAAAGTCCTTATTTACATCATTATATAGTGCTGTAAAGTCATTGAAAAACATTAAATCACACAGCCAAATATGATCTATGACTTCTGGAAATTCTTGCTTTTTTCTGCTATATATATATATAAAAAAAAAAAATATCCAAAAGCTCAACAAACCTGTGAAGAACTTGTCCACAACTCAGCCAGCGAACATTACTATACATAAGAAATCCACCGCATCGAGATTCCACTTTCTGTAACAACTTCGAGAACTGGCGATTATGAGCATGTGCCGATATGAAGTTCACAATTTTAGTTATTACACATAGAACATTTTGAAATGACTGCATACTAGCTTTTTCACATAGTGGTTGTTGATGAAAGATTTGTGTTGAACTTCTTCATCCAGAAAAACCCATTATGTACTCCTACCATCAGTCGTTACATGCAGTTTTCAGGTCAAACTCCATTTTTACAGTCTTGCATTATTTCATTCATCATAACTTTACCTATGGTCATGGTTGGTACACTCAGCAATGCAACTAATTCCTCTCTCATTACATTTCTGCAAGCAAATCAAACGAAAACAGTTAACCTTGCTTATATAGTCACGTTGAAAAGATCGGGATGCTAGCCAACTTCATTTGCTTTGAAACATCTTCACTCATTTTTATTATTCTATCCTTCACAGTATTCCTACTGGCATAATCTTTTAATAGTACAGATTATTTGTTGTTTGTTGGGAAATTTGTCGGATGTCTAAGAAAGGAGTCTTCAGAAACTCATCATCAGAACATAGTTTCCTATGCTGTGCTATGCAGTGAGACATATGGAAATTCTCATTTAAGCCAAAGAATTCAGTGGTGTTATTCTTTGGCTTAAATGAGAATTATAAAACAACCTGTTTGTTTTGCATACTGCTTCACTTTGTGCAATGAACTTTCTTCCTTTTGCATGAAGCAAACATTTTTATGAATCATCTCAAAATGATGCTTTACAGTAAATATGTGACATATTAACATTATGGAGCACAAGCAATGCAGAACTTTTTTTTTTTTCCTATTATTCCATAGTCCACTGTTCTTGAAAAATTCCGCCACTGTCCTCACTAATTTTTTTTTCCCCTCAGGAGCATATTTGATAGTTCACATTCAAGGGGGAAAAAATTAGTTTGCATAACACAAGGAATAAGATACAATTGCAAATTAAAACTCTTATAACTCAAGTGAACAGGAAAACTGTTTGTAACTCAGAAATATGCTACCAGGCTGTATTTGCAAACAGTTACTTTTGTGCAATTCCTTGTATTAGCATCAAAGAGGGGAAAGGTATATACAAACACAACTCAGCCTCTCTGGAACATTCTGAACATAGTATACACATTTTTGTGCAGGTTTTCTCAACTCAGTATATGAATAAGAATAATTCATTCTTTTTTTCTTAAATCTTGCATCACTTGTGTATGCATTTAAAAACAGAAACAAAGGAAAAGAAGTTCATTGAAGTAGCCAAATACCTTCATAAAAAAGTTAATTTTAACAGGGTAGCCATGATTAAATATTTAGTGTAGTTATACATCAGTGCATTATCTCTGCCCCCCTTTCTTTAAAGAACCTGAAGCTTTAAATTCCCGTGATATGGAAACTCGCTTCATTCGCATTGATTCTACATTAAAATGTTTAATTTTCAAAATTTATTCTTTGTCCTCTTGGCACAGTATGAAAACTAATGTTCTAATATAAAGGTTTTATGCGACAGTTATTTAAAAACTCAGTTTTTGTATAGTAGAGAAGCCTTTCACCTTGTCACTTTTTCAGATTATTATATATATATAAAATCAAATTGTATGAATCAATAAAGGAGACGTTAGCATTCACAACTGCTCTCATTCGCAAAACAGCATTCCGCTGTATCTCGAAACATCGGGGTTCTGTTGCACCATCTTCAATCCTTACTAATATTATAAATGCGAATGTGCGTTTGTTTGTTTGTTATGCTTTTGCGCCTTAATTACTTAACCAATCATCATGAAATTTTCAAGAAATATTTTTGATATATTAGAAAAGGTTATAGGCTATAAAATGTCTTCGTACGACTTTAATTAGCTGAGATATTAATTAAAGACTACTTTTCCCTACATTTTTCACTTACTTTGTTGGGTTTTTCCCTATTAAAGGGATTTGGCTACGTACCAATTTATATTTTCAAAAATATCTATGGAATGGTGGTTAGTTGAATTTCGAGACACATATCCACAGATTCCAAAAATTCGTTGGAATCCATCGATACCATTCTCATCTTCGTACGACTTTAATCAGCTGAAATTTTAATTAAAAACTCTGAAAACGCTAATTTAAATGCGACTCAATAGCGACATTAGGGATTTTTTCTTGAGTCTTCCCATGTGGGTTCAGTAAATTGGTGATAAAAAAATTATAATTTTTGATCTAATTATCCAAATTTAGGAACTTGTGTCGCTTTTTGCATGATAGGAGCAATGGTGGTGTAATTGTTTTTTAACACTTAATTATTTTCAGCTTAATCACAGATGAAACAATACTCTGCTTGCTATTGTTAACTCTTTGTTGACAGGCTGAGATTCGAAAGGGGGGGGGCTGGTATACGGTCGACCGGCCGTTGGATTGGCATAGTTCACGGATTTACATGTGGAAAATCATTTTAAAATAATACCTTCTAATTAACTTATGTACTTGAAACTATTATCAACATTTCGACTTGTGATATATTTTGTTTTGTTTTGTATTTTTTAAAGATATATTCATTCGTGTTATATATTTCTGTTATTGCTGCTTGAAAAATTGCATTTACATTTTATGTTCTTTACATTTTACTGTGTGCGATAAAAAATTTTGTTTTATCATTTTAAGGCGCTCGAATGTTCTTTATTTTGAAATTTTACGTGGGGCATAATTTTAAAATCCACGAGGAGTTGAAACTTATTTAAGGACATCAACGCGAACGAAGCCGTAGGTAAAGCTAGTATAGTATAACTTCAATATAGCTGTTTTTACAACTCATACCACTCACGTACTTTTCCAAGAAAAAGCTAATCTCCCCTTTCCATCCTAGAAAATGACGTAATGAACTCATGCTCAGGTTCGTTTCTGAATAATGCCAGCTAGTCTTGGAGGGGGGAGAAGAACGTTGTTTTTAGTGAATATAATGAATAAAAATAATTTACTATGTATCTGTGACGTGACACTGTTGCCATAGGTTTGCCATCCCTGGTGTAATCCAATTCAGTTGTTTGGTTGATACTAGTGAATTTTTTGTAGCACAGTTTTCATAAACATGGGAGATGCATTTTGTTTTTGTTGAAAGAGATTGGTATAACTTCAAAAATTGTTCAATGTCTGTGACGAGTATTTTGTTCCCACATTTGGGGGGGGGGCATTTACAGGGTGTATGATTTGAGAGTTTAATCATGCCATAAAGAGAGAGGGACGACACATCAAAAAAGTTCTTTGAGGGTTGCTTTCAGAACAGCTTTTCATTGGGATTATTTATTCAAATGAATGGGGATTATATACAAAACTGCATTGTAACATTGATGACAATTGATGAAATATATATATATATACCTAAATTCCTAGACCTTTGGAAACATCCTATGTATATTTTTAAAAGTCATCAAAAATACACTTCCTATGAATATCTAAACAAATTGGAGACTATATTCATTTCATGACATAAAATTATTTGAGGTAAATTTCCCACTGCTATGTATCCTCATGAAAAACAACCAGAAAAACTTAGTTTTGAAAAAAATGGAAAAACATATTTATCAATAAATCACAAAATATTGTGAAAATGCATAATTTCATGCATTATGTGTAAAAATCTTGCAGTTATGCAGTTTAATGATTTTTTTTTTTTTTTTTTCAAATTCTTCTTTTTAAAGAACAAATTCCTTTAAGAAAGAGATTAAATATTTTCTGAAATAACTGATTTTGTCAAAAACATATCTCTGTTTCTACTGATATTTTATTTATTTTCATAAAGGTTTATCTCTTTCTCTTTTTTTCAATAGACCATTTAACAGAATAAACTGAGTATAAGTTTTGACAAAACAGAAAGAATAAAGCAATAAATGTATAATATGCTTTATCTAACATTATACAACAAATCACTTATTTTTATATATGATGATTTCATATATTATAGATTATAACTTAATAAGATCAAAATATTTTTTTAGATTAAATACAGTTACATTTATTGCAAGTGTAAGTCCAAAGAATACATTTTATGTTAGTTTACATAATTATTTAAAATACAATTCAAAAAATAAAATTATGAATAATCAAAACTGTGTTAAAAATTCAAAGAAAAAAATTCAATGCATTTTTGTTTAATCAGCTTTCATTTATTAAGTGTTTTCAGTTTGATCAATTTTCGCAATACAAACAAAACAAAATTAATGATACAAAGACACATTTTAAATAACACCACAGTTTATTGACTAAAACACTAAAAGATGATTCAATTTTTCAATCTGGTACACAAAAATTTGAACTTGCGACTGCCTTTTAAGCAATATGATTACTTTGAAAGCAAAATGTTCACTCCCCCCCCCAAAAAAACTGGAATGTTAAAAAAAATGGTCGGTCACTGAAAGATGTTACAAGGAAAATTCCATTATTAGAAACCACTATAAATTCTAAATTGAACATTAAAAGCAATGAAAAAGTGTTTTCATGCCTAGATAATTTTTATAAAATTGTTGTATTACTGATTTACAAAATTTGGAGAAGAATTACTTTTATTAATATTTTAGAAATATAAGGAAAAAATAACATATTTATTGGAATCACAAATACTCACATATGTTCATAAAAACTACTTGCATGCAAAAATATGACTAACAAAATTGCATAACATTTTGAGAAACAAATCAAGAAATTTTGAATTTCTATGACATTTTCCAGTATCTTTTTAAAATATAGCACATAAAATAATATTTTTGCCTTTGAAGTCTAATATATGAAAAAAATTAAAAAAATACTTCATATTATGCTTCACAATGCCTTTATCAAAGATTATGGATGTCTATGAAATGCTTAGTTTAACTTTATAATTGACTCAAAAATAAATTTTATAATTGAGATAAAGAGTATAAAAGATTTTGATTTTTTATATAACTTTACATAAAAAAAATCAAATTATTATTAAGAGTCCAGCTAAATTACAATGAAGAAAATAAAGTGTATGTTTTATAATGGCTGGTCCTAATATAGTAAAAGAAAAGGAACAATTACCAACAATAGCAACTGTACTAAATCTTAGAAAGTACTATATTTAAAGTAACTATTGATTATTTTACTCAAATCTTCAGAATAATAAAAATATGTGATTTATAAAAAGCTTTTATTCTCATCACAACGGAACAACTTTCAAGCAAAACCTTATTCTTTAAATAAGGAGAACACCACATTAAAAAATAAATATGAAAATAAAAATTTTGGCATTCATATACAGATATAAAATAAATATACAAAAGATATAAACAGAACAGACATTCAACCAAACTCAGTAAATGTCAATGAAAATTCATAACTGTACAAGAATAATTTACAATTTAAATTGACTTCTAATGCAATAAAAACATCGCATTTCGATTAGTGCATTATGTACTAAAAATTTACAGTAATTTACAATTTAATATTTTTCAAGCTTTTCTTAAAAAGCGAAAAGCTAATAAAGAGGACAAAAAACACATTTTACAATTTTGCATTTCTAACTGTGAAATAACAAACAATACATATATAGCAAGATTTAGAATAAACTTCACCTTCTCATAGATAACATGGAAAGAACAATACACTTCCAAAAATTTTAAATTTCTATTTTAAAAAGTTAACTAACTATTCAACTAGACCATATTTAAGGAACTTGTTTACAAAAAGTACAAATATATGTATAAGCTGGAGAATTCACATTCTTTTTACAATATATTTCATTCAGTAAAAAATGTATATACCATGTGCTCTAATGCTAAATTATTACATACAAAAATGCCTAAATGAGAAGTGCCTTACTGTAAAAAAGAAGGGAGAATGAAGAAGGTAATATGATGTACTGAAGGAATAATACAAAAGGACAGTTTACAAAATTGAGAGCAAAATTTGGCTTTAAATAAATTCTTTAAGGATAATCTCCAGTAGAATATGATAGAAGATGATTACATGGCATAATACATGCATTCAAAGTATTGGTCTGTTTCTTCATTTAAAAAGGTATGGCCTAAAATATAAAAGCACTAAAAAAATTACCATTTGTTTTTCACAAAAATTATTTGCACACAATAAAGAGATGCACAATTTTATGCAAAGCTTTTTCTTATATTTCAGGTGGGTGAGGAAAAAACATAGGGTATAGTTTCACATCTAGAAAGTGTTCCTTGACTGAGGATAAAGTTTCAGAACTTCCATTAACTTTATCAACATTTGTTGCCTTAACAGTAACAAATTTCCTTTAAAAAAGACTTAACAATCACTTTATTTTTAACCCGCTCAGTAAAATGGTATATCTAATTCAAAAATTCTAAACACCTTTACCTGTAACATTAAAAAAGTCAATTTCAACGATCACTCTTATTAACACTTCTTAAAATAGAATGCTACTTTGTATGGATGGCGGCAAAGTCACAATTTCTAAAGGCATTTATATGGAGCATGGGTTACTCTCATAAATGCAATCACATCAATACATAGAAGTTCAGGCAAGGAGTGAAAAATGATCGTAATTATTACCTAAAAGAGCATTTATAAAAAATTTTTTACCACTGCAGTAAAAAAACTGTTTTACACAAGCATTTTTCAGAATGCCGTAAAATAAAAGAATATTTTTTCACAAAATTTTACAGAATATTGAAATCTGAATTCCTTCTAAGTTAAAAATAATACTGTGTCACAAATATAATTTAAAGACAGTTTTTTGTGAATAAATAATAAAAAACAGTTTTATTTACATTTCACAGTGAAACACATAACTACAGACAGATTTCAAATTTTTACTCCTTGGATCAAACTTCTGTAAAAATGAAACAGAAAACACTTTATCAAGCTTTATACAGAATGAGGCACATTATTTTTAACACAGCCCATCTAAAACATTATTGGCTTTGTTTCTGTCATATCTTTTACATACTGAGTGAATCTCTTTAGGAACTTTGGATATTCTCGCTTATACACTGCTCTTAAAACTGATGCTGGAGCCCAGCCTCCTGGATTAACTAATAAAATGAAATTAACAAACATAAGCTACATCTACATCTTTTACATATAACCTACAGCTTTACTATACACATAAGAAAAAAATTACAGTACACTGCAGTGCCACATTTAACATACATATAGGATGTAAATTATTTAAAAATTAAGTAATAATATACATTAAAAATCTGCAATTAAAATTTTTATTGTTAAAAAGTAAAAAAAGACTTCTAAAGTTATTACCACATAAAGAAAATAATTGAAGAAGTTTTTGGAACATTTTGTCCACTTTGTCGCATAACACAAAATAGCCAACTACTGCTGAGCACTAGTACCACACACAAATGAAAAACAACCAACTACTGCTGACCACTAGTTACCACACAATGATAAACAGATAATAACAATATAAAAGAGGAAAAATCTGCAGGTTTTTTTAGAAGAAAGAAACAAATGCAAGCTTTTCTCCGAGTGTTAAATCTGGTAAAAAAGTTGTTCTGTCCCACACGTGAGAGAGATTAGTAATATAATTATAATAGCTGCAGAAAAATCTACTCATGTTATATTTTTTTAATATTTTGTAGGACTGATACTAAAAATAAGGTGCTTATCTTCTGTAGCACTCTTGGTGACACCTTCTGTAGCACCCTTGGTGCAATTTAGGCTTTAGAAAGTCAGATTTTGTTGCCAAATTTTACAAACATCCACAAAACACAATCTATTTAATATCTATATGATACTAATTATTAATTATATGCATATAAGAAAGACTTTGTCATAAACTTTCATTTATTACACTATTTAACATAATTTTGTCTGCAAGCTATTTAAAATAAACCAAGAAATTAGATTTATTATTAAACATCCTAGAAAATTCTATTATTTTACCTTATTTATTACAATTTTGTTAGCAATTAATTTAAAAAGAACAACTATATATAAAATGAATTTCTGGTATATACAATTCATTTTTTACAGAACCTTTCTGGTATCTATCTGCGATTGTTGCTAATAATGCCTCAAAGATCAACTATACCTTCTTTGAAAACAGTAAGCATAATATTTTACAATGAAAAACAGCTATAGTTAGATTAGTAACTGTTAATTGCTCACAATGCACTAATCGGTACCTGTTAATGCAGAAATGTATTTAATTCAAGGCTGCTACAGAGGACAAATACTGAAATTAGCTACAGAATACAAGCTTTACTTTCCCCACGAAAAGAAAAGACCCCAAGTGTAAAAATCATGTGAGATGCAACAGATGCTAAGTCGAGTGCTCGGTTAAATTAAAAGCACATGGAATGTAAAGTTTGAGGAAGCAAGAGCATAAAAACTAATCAAATTATTAATAATAACAGCAGAAAATATATTGTCTTTGGATTTTGTAACATGCTTTCAATTGCATGTTGTTACATATACAAATTTAAATAATTTGAAACAAATAATATTGATTAAGTAATAGTTAATGTGAAACTTAATAACAGCATTAAATAATTTTAATGTTTGACTTTATGTTTATATACCTGTAAATGATATAAATAGTCTACTAGGAGAAGAATCATTTTCATCCGTATATGTCTTTAGTTATAGTGGACCGAAACTTAAAGCCATACAAAAACAGCAGACCCGAAATCCAATATCCCTAAAGATCCAATGTTAATATTAAGACTACATTATCCGAGAAATACATAAACATGTAAATAAAAATTCCTCTCACCTCTAACAGAGTCTGGAAATGGAGAATATAATATTCAAGAAGAGAAGCAGGTGGCTGATTATACTCCCCACTAACTGAGATTCCCCACATGTCACTTTGAAACACTTGCTGGATAAGGAGTGACACCATGGTCAGTGATAATGAATTGATTGATATACTGATGTTGGCTAAGATCATACTTTTAATCCAATCTAAATAATAAGTGAAGCCCAATGTTGCCATGGCCACATGTCATTTCACTAGATTTAAACCAATGATCTAAAATCTGGAATCGCTGTGGTCTTGATGATTTCAGATCTTAGACTTTGTACTGTACTAGAATGGTTCGAGTCACTATGTTTCACTATGTTAGTATCCATTCTTGCCTGGCTAAATTTTAAAACTTACACAAGGCATTCTTCTCCCACTTTTCTCCATTCGTGAAAACAGGGTCATGGCTGCACAGTATATGTTTGAGTACATGTTTATATGAGTATTTTAAATTCTCCTTAAACAGAGAAATTATTAATTTCACTCTATTTTTTATCAGAGCATTCAGAAGTGATTCACCCAGCTTTCAGAATGCTTTAAAATTATTATTATTATTTTAATTGAAAAATGATAAGAAGAAAGTACTTACTGCTGGAACAATACGTGATTCGGCATGTCAAATTATCTCTAGTGATTTCTTGGTTTTCTGTTGGAGGATCTACAAAGGTTTGGCATACTAATGATACTGTCATTACCAAACGAACACATTTCCCAACCTATTAATGAGAAAAGAAATGAATATTATATCAACTAAAATAATAGAACATGTATAAAATTAAATATGTATTAAAATAATGAAATTTTACCCCAAGTAGAATGAATTAAAAATATAGGAAGCTCTTTACTATGAATTATTTTGTAACCAACAGGTTCATATAATTTGAAAAACCAAGGGTTGGTGTTTCTTTGTAACAACTAAAACCATACCATCACCACACCTTCAGTAAACTATTCATTTCTGTTCATGTATACAATGATGTTTTTCAGAAATATATATATCTCTGATGGTGTCTTGATCTTGAAAGGAATGAATAAATGAAGTTTATACCAATCAGAAGTATACATAAACATAAGTAGTAATGCACAGTTTTTTTCTCTTCCTGCTGATAGGATTTTCACTTTTCATGTCCTCTTTTCTTCTACCATATAATCTGCTGATACACCAAAATACACTGGAGTTTACTTGGCATAACTTACTTCATCCGAGATGTTAATTTTTTTTTTATTTTATTTTTTAATGCTGCATTTTATTATGAAGAGTTGAAATACTATCACTTTCTCTGTAATTTTTTTTACAGATTCTGAAGTATACAAAATGAAAACCCACAGCACTTTAGGGAGAGTTGAGCCAAATGCTGATTTACCTGGAATTTATTTCATTTATTTTTTGCTCTCAAGAAAATTCATAAGACTTAATTTGAATTGTTTCTGCATCTACTAGTAGTTATCATATGGCTCACAATGATAAGTATCTACTAATAGACAAATTTCTTTCATAACATTCACAAAATGATTAAAAATAACTTCAAATGCATGACAGTGATGTTTTGGCCTATAATTGAGATGAAACAAGGAGAGTTTACAATTATAGTTGCATTTCCTATACTAAAACCAAGTTTCAAATTTTCTTTTCTCCATTTACATTAACAAAAAAGGTGCATTCCATGATCCAATTTTTTCCTTCAAGAATGACAAGTTGGATTTTATTCCTACTGAACACTTATTGCAGTTAATAACTATCTTTAATGAAATCAAAAAATTTCCCTGCTGCTGCAAAATAAGGAAGCAATCAGACGATGATACAGCTGATCACAATTGTCACAGTCATTAGCTTTGTGCACACCTGTGAAACAGGATTTAAGCATAGATACTCAAGGATAGTAACGTTGCATATGTGTGAATCTGCAGCCGATTTGGTGAAATCGTCAACCAGATATTGGTTCGTGTTCGCCTTGCTGTGGCTGGTCATTATTTATGTCAGCCTATTATATAGCTAAACCATCAGAACATATAAACAAAATCCTTATACTATTTTCTGTGATGTAGTGAAACGTGGTTGCCTAGTAACGGAAGTTTAACTTATGCTATACAGTCAAAAGTCGTTAATTCGGACACCCATAATCCGGAATGATCTATAATCAGGACCTCAAAGCTAAAATCTTTCTGCGCATGCGCCGCGTTGACACATGCGCATAGGCGTTTTAGGCGTGCGCGCAAGACATTTACGACTGTGCATATGTGTCTGCGCAAGCGCAGAATACGTTTTCGCGTGCACGTTCAATGTAAAACGAACGGTATAAGCTAAAATTATCTAATTATCTATTTCAGTTAATGTTGATGCGTGTTCCTTAATCTTCGAATTGGATCTGGCTTATATTTTTTGCAGACTGTGAGAGCAATTTTATAAAAGTAAGCTTGAACTTTCAATGATGTCAAATAGAATTTAGGATGCTGGAGCTCCCAAAGGATCTAGAAAACGAAAGTATGCTTTGATGTCCATCAAAAAAAAAAAAAAAAAAAAAGAATTGCTATAAAAAATGGATAAAGGCATATCCTTTGTTTATCTAACCCTTTCGGCAGGGGGGAGAGACTTCGCAGTGCCCTATGAACTGGAAGTTGATCACTATCGTTATCTTTAGGGCAGATGTTTTTATTTTATTCGGCTTATAATTCCTTATTAAATGTAGTATTTAATCTCGATGTACTCCGTCTTTGATATGATTAAATCAATTTCTCCTCATTATAAATATCACGAATACAATCAAATAGATTTCTGGTTGAAATTTTCTAATTCCGGCCATGCTAGGGTATGCTTTACGCATGCGCGCGTGAAAGAAATGTTTAATAAAGTAAAACAAATAAATATTAAGCTTCTTTTTTTGTAAATTTTGATACTCTTTAGATAACAATTGGTCATTATTTTATAAATTACAGTTTCATATTTTTAATTTTATAATTTCTGCATGCCATCTTACCAGATTTAAACTTATGATCTATAATCCGGAAAAATCGATAATCCGGAATCATCGAAGTCCCGACGAGTCCGGATTAAAGACTTTTGACTGTAGTCTGTTATTTCAGAATAGGTACTTTAAGGCCATTCACCTCCAAATTATGGCAACAACTGTTGCTGAAAAAAATACTGAATCCTCTAACCTTCGTTGTGCAGTGATAAAAACACATATTATGACTAAAAGAATGAAGGGTCATGATAACCTTTTTTTAAAGTAACAGCTATAACCATAAAGTCCTTGGTTTATATGCTTTCTAAATTTCCTGTTCCAATAAGCAGTCTGATTAAAACTGCTTCAGAAATGGTTATCTTTCTTCTACAACTATGTCTGAGTTTCCAAATACAGTGGGTGATCGGTTGATGGACAGTTCGGACTGCGAACACTTTCACGAAAGATTTTTTTGTCCGGACAACAAACACTACTTGGCTCTCGGAGCATAATGTGCAGGGTTGCCAAAACTCAAAGGACCAAAAATCATTTTTCATCTCTCTTGAATTACGTTGCTTGCATATCTTTTTTCCCCCCTCAATAGAATATTTAGAGCCAAAGAAGACCATCAGTTTCGATTCTGAATTCATTCAAAACTGAAACTAATATCATTTTGAGTGCCTCCACCCCCCTCATTCATTCATCATCCCATGACGAATACCAGACGGCAGACTCCATTCCTCTCACGGTGAAATGATATGTGTCTCATTTCCCTCCCAATTTCTTCTATTCATTTATTCACATCGCTGATCCAGCAAATTTATAGTAGTGAATGGAAGGATAGTTTACTTTCATTTAGAAGCAAACCACAGTACATCAGTTGCCTCAGAAAATGCATGATTTTTTTTTGTATATATTAGATTTTTAATAAACTTACTAAGAAATTATACATCTTTTTTTTTTTTAAATTTTAGGGTCTCCAGAACAAATTAATCGATTTCACAAAAAACAAAAATTTCTATGGTAAATAGATGATCGGTTAACGAACAATTCGGATAGCGAACATAGTCTTGTAACAGATTATGTTCGTTAACTGATCACCCACTGTAACAGTTTGAAAATATCTAAATCTATTTCTAAAAAGTAGAGAATGTTTGTCTCAAAATATTTTAGCTATCTTGCGAATTCCATAACTACCTGCCTTGCTTCTAAATAGTCAAGAGATACCATAAGGATTCTTCCAAACAGCAATTTAGCACATTAAAAAAATTATTTATATTTGAAAAAAATCGGATGTGTGCACCACGACTTCCTTGTATGGAATACTAAATTATACGCATTTTTCTTGCATTTTATTTAAACTTATTCGATTGAATTAAATCTACTTCGTCGATAGCGCATAAACCACAATAAAATAAATGCACTCTTTACAATTCATTATATTTGTTTACCATAGCGACACTCTGGCCCTAGGTTCACTTAACAGCACTACATTTCTAATTTTTTAACTCAGAATGCACAAAATTTATATTATCTTAAGAATTATCAAATAGTTGCCACATGTTCTATTCAAATACTATTACAGTCAAAAGTCTTTAATCCGGACTCGTCGGGACTTTGGCGATTCCGGATTATCGGTTTTTCCGGATTATAGATCATCAGTTTAAATCTGGTAAGATGGCATGCAGAAATTATAAAAATATGAAACCGTAATTTATAAAATAAAGAGCAATTATGATCTAAAATTTACAAAAAAAAAAAAAAAAAAAAAAAAAAAAAAAAAAAAAAAAAGAGCTTAATATTTATTTGTTTACTTTATTAAACATTTCTTTCAACGCGAGCATGCACAAAGCATACATTACACATAGTCGATTTTAGAAAATTGCAACCAGAAAACTACTTGATGTGTATTCCTGATATTTATAATGACGAGGAATTTGATTTAAATCATATCAAAGACGGAGTACATCGAGATGAAATACTACATTTCGTATGGAATTATAAGCCGAATAAAATAAAAACATCTGCCCTGAAAATAAGGATAGTGCTGACAGATCAACTTCCAGTTCATTGCGCATTGCAACGTTTCCCCCCTTCCGCAGAGCAGCGTGAAATTGATAAACAGATTTCGGAATGGTTAGAGAAACAAATCACCTCTCTGTCACTTTCTTCATGCCTTTATTCATTTTTTGAAGCAGTTCCACTTTTTGTTTAATGGACATTGAAACATGCTTTCGCTTTGCGATTCTTTGGAAGCTCCAGCATCGGAAATTCTATTTGACATAATCGAAAGTTCAAGCTTACTTTTATAAAATTGTTCTAACAGTCTTCAAAAAACAATAAGCCGGATCCAATTCGAAGATTAAGGAACAACGCAATCTGCAACATTAACTGAAATAGATAATTAGATAATTTTAGCTTAGCTTATACCGTCCATTATACATTAAACGTGCATGCATAGTTCCTTAATCTTTGAATAGGATCCGACTTATTATTTTTTGCAGACTGTTAGAGCAATTTTATAAAAGTAAGCTTGGTTAATGCATGCGCAGAAAGTTTGTAGCTTTGAGATCCGGATTATGGGTGTCCGGATTAACGACTTTTGACTGTATAAATCTAAAACGATACATAAAAGAAATTAAGCAAAGAACACACACACAAAAAAAGTAGAAACTGTTTTTCACAGACAATTCAGTATTTCTCATTCAATTAATTCAGTTCTCACTTCCCGACAAGGCAAAAATACATAAAAACTCAAAATGTCTGTATTGAAAATTATGAAGTAAATCTTAAAACTTATTTGCTTGAATAAATTCCAGAATGGATTAACCATGATTTAATTAGCAATAATAAAAGAAGGCATTATCTTTGTTATTGCAAAGCTTACTTTCTCTAGATTGGCAACAAATCTACTATTCTGTTGTTTCAAATGTAAACAAGCAATGGCAAACATGGCAAAAATTATTATGCTTAGCAGCACTTAAACAACTTTTAAATTGTTGATAATTCTAAAATTATTGCACACAGATTTACTAAAGGCATAAAAACCTTAACCGGAAGATAAGAACAGCATAATTCATTCATTTTCAAAACAAATAATGCACAATTTACAAACATAAAGAAAAAGAAACTGAAATCACCGAGCAAATGTAACAAGATGTTACATTTGATGTTACATTAATGTTGCAAATGTAACAGAGTGGATATATATATGATTTCATAATATATTATTCATAGCATTATGATATGATGCTAATATTTTTGTCCCTGCTGTTTGTACCACAAATATTTTTTCACCTGCATAATTGACTGTAGTATCACTTGGTATGTGAATTTAAAAAAAAAAAAAAAAAAAAAAAAGAGTTTCATCATCATTGTCCATTACTCGCTCTGTTGTTCTGAGGGCATGTTTCCAAAATCTATTATGAATGAACGTATGAATACATATATTCATATACTTTTGGTGCAGCCGATAGCAACAAAAATTCGAGGTGCACACCTACATGTTATAGCAGTCCTATATACAAAATTTCAATGTTCTGAGGCCACTCGGTTTTGAGTTATGCGAGATATACGCAAAGTACGCCACAAATGCCAAGATTGTCTTATTCCGAATTCATTTTAGATCAGTTTTACAATTTTTTGGGGGGAAAGAGTCCTTTATTCTGTCCTTGCGTAACAGAATGTTACGCAAAAACACCGTTAAATTGCATTCGATAGCGGTGAAAATGGTTATTTGCTTTTAAATATGATGCCTGAAACTTTTCACGATTACAATACTTCTTTTTTACTTCGTACAAGGAAGTAAAAACTAAACTTAACACCCTAATTGCAGAAGTTTAAGTGGCAACCTACTCTGTCTAAAACTTTTACCATGCCTTAGAATGAGCTATTATTATTTGTGTTTGAAAGGCAAACTGATAAAACTGGACTAGTAACACTTGCCTTTTATTTATTTTATAAAATATCATTTTTATGTAGATAAAAATAATTATGGATACCGATGTAGATGTCTGACGCAAACAATAAGACAGAAGTCAGCATATTTATGGATAGTTTTATTTAGCTTGGAAAATTCAGATTATTCAATATTAAATACTTCATCAATAACACTGAAGTCTTTACATGTAAAAAAGAGATTATAATTTTAAAGTCAAGGCAAAAATATAACTACCACGTTCACATATGCAAAAGCTGCAAATTGTTTTTGAAACAGTGTAACTGGGAAAGATAAAAATCTTAAGAGTTCTACAAACAGACAACACCAGAGACATGAAGCTACAGAAATATACTAATATTGCAAATTCCAGACATTTGATATACATCAAATGTTTTTTCTGTTGCTTGATTTTTGTAAGATTAACACAAAAAATGTCCTCATGATAACATTGCAAAATCATTCACAGAAATTTCACAGAAATCATTTCACAGAAAGATATCAGATTATACCAACCTAGAGGCAAATCCACTGAGATATACCCATGAAATTCAAGTAAATTAGATTTCCCCGTGTCTGCTCAGATGACTCGGTTTAAAGCCTGAAGGACTGCTTAAAATACTAAAATTCTCAAAAGGAGTTATAGCAGGGAAGATGTTTTATGGGTCAATATCAGCTTGTGATATGAAATCAAAATTCAGTGGTGCAGCTACTCCCAGAAATCTACCAAAATAAAACAGATTTTGGAAACGTGCCCTCAGAACAACATAGTGAGCAATGGACAACAATGATGTAACTCTTTTTTTTTTTATTATTCATATACCAAGTGATACTACAGCCAATTATGCACGTGAAAAAATATTTGTGGTACAAATAGCAGAGACAAAAAAGCAGCATCCTATCATAATGCTACGAATAATATATTATGAAATTAAGTTGCATCTTATGCCAAATACTGGTAACAGTTCAAGGGAACTCTATATGGATTAGATACAGTCAGTTAGGTTTCAACACCCAGATGCACTCTTAATATCAGCAATAAAAATATATCCACAACTTTTGAGATCATCTGATCAAAAGCACGAAAGGAAAATGGTTGAGGAAAGATGTGATGTAGTTGTAGATCAAGAGAGATGAATAAAATGCTACTAATTGATGTATTCATCAACCATCATTTTAAGGCTCATCCAGCTGTTTCAACCATGAATGGAAATACAATGTAATGGAAATTGTACTGACCTTGCAGTAAATCTACATGTTCTTATTTCAGTTGAAAGAATGAAATATATCTTTATGGAAACTAATGGCAAAGGAAATAAAGTCCAAAGTTTTTAAGTTATGATCATTCCCAATGCAGTGGATGAGTCAGAAGGCCACACAGAATATTTCACATCATCTAAGAGTACAACATACTTAACAGATGCTGGTAGTGACAACTTAAGATGAAAAATAATAGTTATCAGTTTCAATAAAATTAGTGATTTACAGTTTTTAAGGGGACAATGAACCTTCTTTTCTAATTTTAAAATTTACAGTGAAAACTGCAGTTGCATTACATTTTAAAAAATATTTTGCTAGCTTAAATATAATTTAAAATTATTAAAAAATGTCATTCAATTTGCTACATTTTTAAATATAAAGATTTTGCATGGAAATTTTGGATCATTTTGTAATTAGGCAGAATTTTTTTTCCTGTAATGCTTAGTGGAGGGGGGAAAAAATCTACTTAGTTCTTAAAATTAAAAATAAATAAAATAAAATAAAAACTACAAAAGTTAATTTTGTATTCAGTTTTTATACATAATAACAATAAACAAACACAAAAAAATTCAAGATCTCTATCTTAATTACACACACACACCAAAAAAAAAAAAAAAAAAAAAAAAAAAAAAAAAAAAAAAAAAATTTTTTTTTTTTTAAACATGAATATAAACAAAAATGAGCTTTGAGAAATCACTTTAATTTTCAGTTTCAATTACCAGTAAAGCAGCAAACCTTTGAAGGGAACCCCCCAATACATATATATTTTACTTTTTAGAATTTGAAGATAACTATTAATAATAAATTGATTTACAATTATTTAATTATTGCAATACAATTTTGCTGAGGCCTAATTTGAGTATAGGTCTTAAACAAATTTCAGTACAAGTTAAAAAGTATGGGTTATATACTTTGTTCGTATATAACCCTCACTTTTCTACCGGAAATTGGCATATTTTTCAGAGTATACTTACAGGAGCAGCATCATGATCTGTTGAATTATTACAAACAATCCATATATCATGGGCATCCTTATCTTCATCATTTGGAACCTGCCTCATATGTGACCAAAATAAAGCATCTCTCTGTGTTGCAGGCCACACTCTTTTGTGTATTTGATGGAAAATAAGAGTTTTGGAATCTATTTCTTCTACAACTTTCATATTTTCAACAGTTGCTATAATAAACAGATAATAATTTAGAGAAGTTGATAATTTGTGACAAAGAAAGATAACATTAATGATAATATACCAAAAGATTGGAATAAGAAATAAGTTATCTTACTTTCCCAGTCAAAGCGATATTCTGGTGCAAAAAAATAATGACACATTTCATGACCAGTCACACCCTAAAAGAGAAGTAAACATTTACACAGCTGTCAGTTGAAAATAATTTCATAATATAATTCAAAATTTATTTTACAAAATTTATTTTTAAAAATCACACAATAAAAGAGAATTACAGAATACTAACTATAAACTATCAACAAGTTAATTAAAAAAAAATCACAATACACATATGTAATTTATGTTAGCTTGCACTGATTATCTTTCGTGCATGCGCAAACTCAGGTAATTTCTAAGTTGCAGAAAAATTCAATAGTTATCTTTTTAATAATGATAAAATTGAAACCATTATTACACTGGCCTTAAAATTTATGAAGAACTACTATTTTTATAAAAATTTCAATATATTTGAACACTTTTGTTATATGAACTTATGAGTAAAAATATTTACATTGAATAAATATTACTATTAAGGCCCGGTGTTGCAGTGGCCAGCGCCACAGGTCCGGGGTTCGAGCCCCGGGTTGGGCAAGGTCAACTCAGCCTTTCATCTCTTGGGTCAATAAAATGAGTAACAAGTTTGCTTGGGGACTAAAACTGGGGGTCCTGCGACAAGCTGAGCACTTGTTCAGGGCATATGCTTACGCACCCCGGGGCCCACGGTCAAGAAAGCAGATTTCGAGGCACTGCAGGCATTGGCCCATTAGGGGTGTTTGCAACACGGAGTTTTTTTTTTTTTTTTAAATATTACTATGCTTTGTGTAAAATTTCTTCAATATATTTTAATATACTTTTGTTATATTATTATAGATTAAAATATTTGGATTGTGATTAAATATTATACTCTCTTTTAGGAACATTATAGCTTTATTAAGTAAAATTGAAAATAAATATACAAAAATAACTTTTAAAGCAATACATACTCTCACCCCTCTTGATATCAATTTTAAGTTTAGGTTTACAATTTCTGCACGAAATTAGAAATTATCTGGCAAAATTAGGAATTAAAAAAAAAAAAAAGAGCACAGTAAAAATCCCACAAAATCAACCTAGTGTGGACTGAGAAGATGATGAGGACTAACCAGAAAAATCTCGTTTTATGGAAGAAGGAACAGGCTATGCACAGCTCATGATATTTTATGCAACACCTACATCCACGGCCAGTTTTAAAGTAACTAATTTCATTTTTATTGTCATATTAATTTTTTTCTTTCTCGTTAAGACATTTTTCACTTGGATAGACAACACAACACTTGTAAGCCTGGATATAAGCTGAGAAACTCTACCCAGAATAAACTGAAAACTCAGCTTACAGCCTACAGCTGTAACCTTCAGGCAAAGCTGCTAATTGCTAGCAATAGGAAATATGAGTGGTGAATGATAGAAGCTACCTTACTTTCTTCAGTCATTTTGTTAGAGGAAGGAACAGGGTAGTTTGAAATTTCCATGGAAAAACAAAAACCGTTCTTCCATATTCATTACAAGGTTCCAAGAAATAGTGTCACAAAGAGAGAGAAAAATCACAAAATCAGAAAACCATAACAAATCCTTGAACAGAATAGGAAAATATGCAGCTATTCAGAGGTATAAATATGCATTGTTATTACAATAATACAGTAATTAAAATGTATAAGTATGCACTGTATAGGTAACGTTAAGAATTATTACAGTCTAGTTATTAATAAACCAACAAATTATTTGAAAGATTATGTTCTTATTGACCAGCAGATATCATTTAGCGATTAGGGAAAAGATTGAATTGCATATTAAATTTTTATGATGTTCACCTATAAATTATTTCATCACACAATTTAAAGAACTAAGTAAGCGGAATATGCATGTAAATTGCAAAACTCGAATGGTTCAAAATAATACGTATTTTATATACAGACATTTTAGAAAGGAATTATATATATTATTTGATGGTACTTTTTCGTAATATACTGCCACTTTTTTTGGTGGGTTTTTTAAGTGTAAACACACACTAATGTGTTAAATTAAGCACAGACACACATACACAAATGTTTTGGTCCCCAAATGGCACCATCCCACCAAAATGTGCGGCCAGTACATAACACAAAATTTACCAAATATTTCATCCAAATTAAATAAATTATCTTCATCCAAATTAAGAATAAGTCAACTGGGGGGGGAGGCTCACACACTAATATAACCATTTACACTTGAAATATATTCTTCTGAGGAACATTCAGTCATTAGTTGCTTTTCAACATCCCAAAAAATCTGTTAAATTACAGTCGAAGTTACAAATAACAAATCCAAAATGAATTCAAAGAATTTACAATTAAAATTTCAGAAAAAAATTAATTAACATTCTAAACATAAATAAATAAATAAATTAAAAAAAATAATAATAAAAAAATAGCAATCTAATCTTGGTATACAGATTTCAGTTTAACATTTAATTTTTTTTTTTTTTTTTTTTTTTTTTAAGCTTACAATACTTTAGTATACCAGATGCCTACTGCTTAGCTGGTGTGCTCTGGGGGACACAGTTCATGACACAGTATGGAAACATCTGCAAAACCACAACCCATTTTATACACGAATTAAAATACTACAAAATCTGGTTGATTCATGCTTATTCCTATAATTATACATCTTTAATATTCACTATCTAGTTACGAAACAATGAGATGTTTTCAGGCAATAAAATTAACATCTGAAAGAAACCAATACAAATATCTTTCAAATAGTACCAATTTTTTTACATTACTTCTGGGAACTGGACTGTGCAGCTGAACAGAAAAAATTTATTACAGAAATGATAATCACTTTTATAAAAACAAAATACCATATTTGACGGCATATAAGATGCACTTTTTCCCCTAAATTTGGTCTCAAAAAAGTTACCTGCGTCTTATACGTGAAGGACACAGGTTAACTTTCAATACTGAATGCTATTTTTTGCCCGGATAAAGGTATAAACACACATAACTTTCTCTACATCTACATGTGTGTGGCCTTCTAAATAAGGGTGCGTCTTATATGCCGTCAAATACGGTAATCATTATTTCAATTATTAGCCTACCTACACTTTTATGTTCGCTACTGAATTTCAATAACGAACAAAATACCACTGAAGTTATTATCAATATTAATGAAAATTCCTTACCTTTACTGTATGAACAGCTTTTAATGGATCACAAACAATACCCCCTTCTTCAACTTCTCTCCGGTACATTCGCATTTCTCCATCTTCAGCAAAAAGTTGCCACCCTCCTTCCCCTACACCCATTTTTGCGTATTTCAACTGTTCTAAGGTTATATGATCTATCTGAAATTTCAAAGTAAATGTATTTAGAAAGAAGAGAAAGGAAAAAATAAAACAAAAGACCACATTTTACACATAATCTTCTTTGCTTGAAGAATCTACATACGAAAGCACTTTTGTGGAAAATACAATACAAAGACACATATTATAAAGAAAAGGAAGAAACAGTATAGCTAAAATACTGGTATACATTGTACAAATACTGCAGTAAAAGTAGTTTCAATTCATGCCATAATGACAATATTCCCAGAAGAATCTGACCTTTTTTCAGTCTTCAAACTATTCATAATATAATGTAAAAAAATATTTAATGGAAAATCTTAAGGTACTTAGTCCCTGTGAATAGATAATGTTATTAAATGTCCAGCCGCGGTATGATAGCTTCCCCGCAAAGCAGGTTTAGGGTTGCCAGAAAATGGCAAGGGAAGGCAGAGTTGCCACATTTGGCAACATAATTGGCGGTATGCCATAGACGGATGGAGAACCTCCTGGAAAGAATTCTTACTGGTTTAGACCAGAATGTTCTCGAACAAAAGCCAAAAGCTATATAAACTCTGCTGGTGCGTGGAGAGTCAGTTGATAGTCAGCCAGTGAGTGTCTAGTTGAGTAAGCTAAGAATCAGCGAGCAAGTGTCTCGTAGTCTAGTGCCGAGTTGCTCGTCGAGTGCATCGAGAGAGTCTCTTAGAGTATCAGAGTTAGTCATTGAGTTTCATCTTAGAGTGTGTTGAGCTTCGAGAATGATTGAACTGAGTTGGGAGCTGTACTCTAGTGTATTGTCAAGTGCATCATGAGTTATAGTGTGGACAGTTTCAAGAGTACGTAGAGTTCGAGCAAAGTCGAAAGCTGTACTCTGGTGCTTTGCCATGAAGCTGTCTTCACCATGATAGCCTCAAGGCTGTGTTGCTGATTGTTTCAGTGTATTTATAGTAGTTCTTCAACGACTGTAAACATGATTTTGGAGCTGTCTTGAGTAATACTGGATAATGTTTCGATATTTCAGCAAGTGTCATTGTTATTCACTCCAAATCCATGAATCTGTACTTACATAAAGAAAGAATGCAACAATAATTTCCTACCACAAAATAAATTAAAAAAAAGTATACAATAGTTAAATACATTTACATATTTTTGATATTTGTACGCCTTTTAATCTCTGTCTCAATTCATTTCTGTTTATGTTAATAGTAAAATATTTCCTACATGTATGACTTTATGCCATTTTCTCTGATTTATTCTTAATATTTCATTTTGCATCTCAAATATTTTCTCCAGATGATGTTTCTCTTTCATTAGTACGTAAATATGAATGGTGGGCAGGCTTAGGACATAGACATTCCAGATTGATACAGGATTTGTAATCTGAATAGTGGATAAATAGACAAATAATAGGTTTGATGAATAAAACAGATAACATAATCTGTTGACTACTAATTTTACTAATGGAAGACTCTTTTTCCCTGCATTATTTTGTAAATACATTTTAAATCAACCTCTATAAGTCCTTCGTGTTCTTCTTTAAATATAACTTACTATTAAAATGTCTAACAAAAGGCATACTTCTCAAAAGCTAAGAGTCAAATTTTTAAAGAATTTAATAATACAAAATCAAAAATAGTACAACTTTTGAAAGCAAGAAAATAAGATTATCTATTGGTGTTTCCCTGGTGAAACATTTCCCAAGATTCAAGATAAATTTTCTTGAATTTTTCACTTTAAGCATGATTAAATGATGCAGTGAATGTGCGTTGCTAATATAAAAGACAAAAGATATACCACAACTGAATGTGAGGACGACTGTTTCTCAAATGGATGGCTTAAATTTTACTACAGAATCTCATGTTTCATATTCAGAGAATCCAAATACATCCCAAGTGAATCTGTTGAAGGCTATTCCAAGTATTTATCCAATCAAATTGATGGATATCAGATGAAAGATATCTTTAATATTGGTAAAAACAACCTTCTTTCACCTCATGCTTGTAATAAACCTAACTTTAAAAATGATCATGTAACTTTGTAAAGAAAAGTTGTGATCATGTTATTGTTGAAATTTCAGTTCAAAATATTGAAAATAAATAATAATAAGCCACATTTATTGTATTCGCTTGGAACTTTATAATAAATACAATTTAATTTTCCATTCATATTGATATTTAAATAATTTAACATGAATCAAAATTCTGATCATTTTCTAAACTTTTATTGTATAACAGTTTTTCCTCAACAGATATTGCAAGCAAAGTAATTTAAGTAAAAAAGAGGAACATTTCTGAAATCAGAAGATGGAAAATTGCTTCATGCAGCCATCCTTTAACAGTAAAAGCTTAAACCTCGCGTAGGGGGAGGGGTAGATTGTGTCCTTTAGATTTTTCGGTTAAATAAATGCTTTTGACATTTCGATATGTGCATCATATAAAAATAGACCAACGGAACTAGAAAATATTCTGCTTAGCAAGCACAGTAAGAGTTCATAAACAAATCACAGACTGAACATCAAAATTAATTATCTCTGCAAAATATCGCAAACGTCATTGCACAATACGTGCGCTGTAATTCTTCCGTATGTGATATTACACAATCAGAATCAACAGCTGCCAGTATTCGGAGAATAAGGAACTAAATAAAGGAAAAGAAAGAGACTTACTAATGTGGGGTTTTTTTATTCTAATTTTGAACAGACTTTGTAAATTTCTTGAATAGAATCATTCTTCGCTTGGGTTGGTAGACTGCAGAACTTTTAACCCCATTCAATCCAGATTGGAAAGTGACAAAAAAAAAAAAAAAAAAAAAAAAGTCTGCTCCTTGTTTTGCAGTGAACTGTAATGGTTTAATATTCGAAATTTTGCGGAGACAGGGAAGAACCTCCCAACCTCCGTACTGTAAAATGTATTGGGGGAAATTTTTTTTGACTATTCGATTACTTTCCTTTTATTTAAAACATTCTGAATATTATTCCTTAGAAAGCTAATCTGTGTTAAAACACACCCATTTTTGGAAGTTCATCTATACTTCAGCAGTTACTGCAACTATATTATTATAAATATTCATACATATGCTCATAACATAAGCATAACGATCATAATAAACGCGAATATAAACTGAACCACGCGGAAGAGAATTTAAATTATTAAAATCTTGATAGAAACTTCAAACGTGTGTAGTATTTTGGGGTGGGAGGAAAAGAATACCGAATGTATCGGAAATTTCTACCGCTTTCGCAATTACTTTGACCAATAGAACGACGGGCACCACATGTCCTGTACTCTCGCGCCGCACCAAAGGTTACGTAATGCAGAGAAAAGGGGAAGGGAAAAAGCTATTTTCGGGGTAGTGATTCACAATCTGACATTCCATAAAAGGAATAAAAGTTGTTTGTTTAGTTTTGGCTTTAATACGGGGAAAAAATGTGCGTTCATTAAAAGCAAAGCACTAAAAGCAAACAATAAGCACTCAAAAAATAAATAAATAAATAAATAAATAAAAAATAAGGGCTGTAAAGAAAAAGTAAGCACCTATAAGGGCCTTTATATTTTATTTTCAAATATAAAGACTTATAAGCACTTGTAAGGACCAGTACGAACCCTGTGTAAGTTATAGGTATGATTTTAATTAAAAAAACACAATATGATTTAAACACACTGACAAAATTATTCAAAAATAGAATGACTTTAAGTACTTTTTGAAACTGCACAATGAATGAGAAATTACACTCGATAAATAAATCTTTTAAATGAAGGGAACTAACCTGTGGCCATAGGGGATGATGAGAGGCAGATGTAGGAGACATGGAATGATTTTCATCTTTATTATAACTTCGAATCAGCCTCTAAAAGAGAAATATTGAAAATTATAATGTGGGACATATATATTAACCCTTTTGCCTTCCTCTCCTGTCCGCGAAAATTTCTCCCTAGCGGCTTTTTGTTTTTCGCAGTGTGTAATGTTGTTTTCTCTGTACAATCATAACTTTCGTAGTGGATGAATGTAAATGAATATTAAAAAAAATTATAAGGAAATAAAGCATAATGGATAAGTAATATCTCTGCTTATTTCTAACAGCAGGATTAATTTGATAACATCTGACCCAGGCGGTCCACTTCTCCCATTTTGTTGTTGTAATCTTTTACAATTATTGGTTTTTTTACAGTTCTTTTCCTTATTTCAACATCAATCATACAGTTATTACGGACTGTACTCATCAAACATATATCCTTCTTATCTTTCCAATTCACAACCTCATTTTTTCTCTTTTTCTGCTGAGTAGACGTTGATGCCATCTCTCACTGTCTTGTATCTTATGTAAAATGGTGCGAATATTCATAAACCTGGGGGGGGATTCAATTAGAAATAGAATGCCTGATTAGTACTGCCCTCTAGGAGGTATTAGAACAAACAAAAATAAAAACTCAAACAAGTAAACATTTAGAAAGCGTTTTAAACGTTAAAAAGTTTTAAAAGGTAGAAGAACGCTTGAAGCGCGTTACTGTCGTCCTGTACAAGTTTCACTTGAACGCGCTAGACGCGTTATGGATGACGAAGTGGTTAGTGTGAACTTTAGAAGTGCTATATTCAAGAGCTCAATTCAACGACACCACATAATTACAATGACTAAACCAGAAACAAAGGACACCTTTTGTAATAGTTACCTGTTGTTGCTTATAACACACAGATGTTGAAGAATAATAAAATTGACACTTAAAAATTATAATAGATGCCACTTAATACGATCATTTGGATCCTGATATCTAATTCCCAAGGTACTGCTCATTTGTATATGGATCAATAGTTCAATACAATAAAAGTTTTTTAAACCGTAGTAAAGTCACTAAATAAGTTCAAAACAGATCATAAAAATTCCCAAGTGACACAGAAAAGTGGCCAAATAGTTTTTATTTTAATCAAACATTTAAAATTAAACAAAAAAAAAAAACTTAAGTTTAACACAGTTTTTTAATGACTGTATTGATTTTGGATTTCGATGGCAATCAGGCACAGCTCCCTCTTCTTCATGGGGGGGGGGAAGTACTATTTTCTTTCCCCTTCAGAAAAAAATTTCCATAAAAGCATTCCTGCCAAACTAACCTTGGTTTTTTTGCCTAATTTTACATAGGCACATTCTCTTCCAATAAGGGATGCTCTCCAAGTATTAAGATCAAGAGTATAGAATTGGCCGCCAAATAATTTGCAGAAATGTTATGAAAAGTTCATAAAAGAACTTTAGTATTTTATGAAGAGTTCATAAAAATGTTTTTGCATTTTACTAATTAAAATGCTGTAAAAGCACCTATTTTTATATTTCTAGTTATATTTATATTCAATTCCATTGCTACTTTGAAGGATATTTTTTTCATCATTTAATGTTATCAAAATAGCTGTGGACAAATGGGATTGCATAAAGCAACTCCTATCATAGCTTGCTTGATTTCAACCCAGAATATGCACTTTTGGTTCCAGAGTTCCCAACTAGAATTTTAACGCAGGGCTAATGTTCAGAAACAGACAGCTATAGTAAAGCCTTTGTTAAGCAGTCTTCATGCTATATACTGGTTCCAACCATGTCAGGAGTACAAAATTTCAATGGAAAACAACACAAAATGCATACTGTTCAGTAATCTGTCCATCTTTGCAATAGTATATATGTGTCAAACTCTTTATGAACCATATGACCCAGATCATCTGGTGTACAGAATGAGGCATGGAAGTCGCTGGGAACACTGATAAGTTCTGATGATTACATTACGTCAAAGTTATTTTAAATGGCCACTCTGCTTAATTGTTCGAAAACACTACCACAAGGGAGATATAAATTAAGATAACAATGCACCAAACCACACTTCTGGTGACAGATGTGAAGTAAAAAAACATGCCAAATAATGATTACTGGTGGAGTAAAAGTAACAAGAATCAGCACAGTATTCATAAATTTGCAGGACTAGTTTTGTAGGTCTAAATATACATTTATTATGCCTTTGACCACTAATAATTTTACAAAATTGTGACTGAAACAATAAAATTCTAAATCACCTTAACTTTTACTAAAGTGTGAACATAAAAAAGTTATCCCCAATTTCATTCAGATTAAATATAATCAAACACCTTCCAACTGCATTAAAAATAAATAAATAAAAAAAAAAAAAAAAAAAAAAAAAAAAAAAAAACTCCTAAATTGCAAACTAGCCTTGCTTTGATCCATCATAAGGGAAACATGTCAACAGTTATCCAAAACTGAATTTGAGCTATGTAAGCTTTATTTGGAACTTGCAAATTCATATCCAAAATTTGCTGCCATTGAACAACAGAATGCAATTTAATGTTATAAAAAAACTTAAATTCCCAAATCTCCTTTCACAGTCTTCTAATTTAAGTATTTCATAAAATCCTGTAAATAAAAAGCCAATAGTTAGTATTTCTAATGTTAGTTTATCAGAAGAATAAAAGAGAATTCTGAAACATAATTTTAACTTCTCACAAACTGAAAACCTTTGATTCCAAAGATTTTAGCTCCTATCTAAAAAGCTTTCTAATTCAATAAAACTTCAGAGATGTAGAATGAAATGATTAAACATCTTTTCACCCATAATGTGAAATTTAACAGGAAACATTTCACTTATAACCTAAATGAGACAGAAGAAGATTCATTGCACAAAATTTATTTTAACTTAAACATTATGATTTCAAAGGCTGGCTGCATAGTCGTCATAGACCAAAACACACGTACCGATGGAGTTGACAACCTTTTAAACGAAGGCCCATATAATCTGATCTCTAAAGATCCTTCACCTTCAGACCTCTCAAAAACAAAAACTGTGATTAAATCTTCACAAATCCTTCTGACCCATTTAACATTGCCTTATACCCATTAGCTAAATATTTAGATCCTCAATTGACTTTGTTATATAATAACACTTACACCATAAAAATTACAATAGTTTATATAAAAAAAGTAAAAAGCATTTCCCATAGAAAATTCATCATGGTTTCTTTTGATGCAAAATCATTATACACCAATCTTCCAGTGGAAGGTGCCCTCAAATGTCTAGAAACTGCACTTCTCAGAATTTCATTATGTCTGTAGGAAATTGATGAGTTAATTTCCCTTTATCTGAAATAAGTACATTTTTTTTTTTCCAAAACAAGTATTACAACCAAATTGAGAGATTCATGCGAAGCCCATTTAGTAACCTTTGCTGTTATTTATATGCATTATTACATATCAAAAGTATTTGAAATTTTAAACTTCCCTGCATGGTTTTACTATGTTGACAATACCTTATTTGATAGTAATTAAGATGATTTAAATAAGGTTCCTTCAATAATGAATTCCACTCATCCTGCTATTCAGTTCACTTCTGAACTTGACACAACCAATTCTCTTTTGTTCCTTGACATCTTGGTCACACGCAACATATCCAACTTCAGTTCTATTGCTTACTGTAAATCTTCATCTGTTTTCCTTTCACCACACTTCAAATCTTGCCATTCGACTAAACAGAAGTTAGCCTCATTTTATTTTTTTATTTTCTGTGCACTTCAAAATTGCTCCTCCAAATCGGTCTTGATCAAGAACTAAATTACTTAAAAGCAGTCACTATTGACAAAAGCTTTTCACGTAAGATTACTGAACAAGAAGTTAAAAAATTCTCAATACATCAAAAAGCATCATCTTATTTTAGATGAAAAGAATTCTATCGTCACTCATTTCCTTCCATAAATGAATTAGATATAAAATTGCACATATTTTACATAAATTAACTTCCAGATCATTTTCTCTTCTGTTAATGAAATTTGCAGTTCCATATTTCATTTTGGATATGAACTCCTGGGATATGTAGGGTTCCTTGTCAATGTGGTTTAATTTACAATGGCCAAACTAAGATAACCTTATAATTTCACGTTAAGAAACATGAGGCATATGTTAGAAAAAAAGGAACACATATATCCTCTTTGGACAACTCTGTTGGTTAGAAAATCACATTTTTCTGCAGCCAAAATTAATCAAAAAATGTTCCATTGGTGAATTAAGAAAATAATCACTGTTTTGCAAGCAGAATAGCTAAAATTATTTTAATGATTGTATAAGATTTGTATCAATCATTCCCAAGCATCATTACAGTGTTAGTCTCTAAAAGAAGGCACATATTTTATTAAACAAGTATTGCAATACAAATACTTCACAGTTTCATTGTCCAATCACTATATATGAAGAATTAAACCTTTAAATTAACAAATTTAGTCAAAATGAAACAGCTGGTAATTACTGACACCTTAAACAGTGAAGAATTCAGCTTTTTAAACTCGACTATTAGCATGATTTAAAGTACTTAGCAGATATTTTATTTTAAGCTAAATTATTAATTTGTACATTTTACCTCCTTTCTAGATCATTTTCTGTGAAAATAATAACATTCCTTTTAATGACAGAATATCACAAAACTGACACATCACAACAAATTTCAGATGTATAGTTATGAAACATGTATTCACATTTTATAATATCAATAGCTTATTCTGCTTAAACTGAAATAAATTTCCCCATACATACTTGTTCTAATAAAAAAAAATAATTTTAATTCAAAACTGATTATGGGTCGAAAGTTTATTTACAATACTTCAAATAATTCATACATTCACTTTTACATTTCTGAGAAATGAAACATTCTAATTAATAAAACATTTGTACTAATGTGATATTGATACTGCTTACCATAAGATGTTTCTGGTGAGTTTTTAATAAAATATTTTGTTTTACATTATAATTTAAATAGGTAAATTAAAATATTCTTTAAAAATATAATTATCTGCTGATCATACATAGTAAATAATTTTGAACCTTGTGAGGCTGAACAACAAAGAACATTAAAATAACTGTTCAAAAATTTTGATTTTTTTAATTAAATTCTTTCAAAATACAAAACTATTAAAAGCTTAAAAAATGATGCATAGCAGCTGTCACCAGAATGGAATAAATAAAAGCAAATTTGAAAATAAAAAGAAAACAAGGCCCATCATAGCAAATGGTCACTAATGACATATTACTACTGGCAGTTAATCCATAAGGCTATGGTGTGCAGCCATGCAGTACACTTAGATAAACTGTTAAAGTGGTCTGAAAGAGAAGGAAAATAGTGATTATCAAAGCCAGTGGTGATCAATGGATTAAGCTCAATAGCTATGTATCTGCAGTGGCAACAGAAAGCAATGGATAAAGTCTTAAGAGCATAATGCAGTACAGCACCATAAATTTTTGGAAAGACTTTGTTAAGAACGTTCCTTACATCAAAATGAAATTACCCAAGCATTTACAAAATTTAAAAATTTTTCATATATACAATAGGTGATTTTAATATGAATAAAAGAAAAAAAAATAAAGCAATAACTTAAAATATGTATGAAAACATTCCCAATTTAACTATCAGACAATTACAATTTATGAAACTTAAAAGAATAATGAAAGGCAGTCACAAAATGAAATTCATAAACAAATATAATTTTTATTAGAATCTATTTTGATAATAACAAAAGTTACAAAAATATTTAAAATTTTATTTCCAGATTACATACTCTATTTTTTCCATGAGATAGATTCTCAAATACATCCTAATCACCAATATAACCTTAAGGATTTGCAGAGACTGCATATAATTTTCAAGTTAATAACATAATGATTGACATCCACAACAGCTAACAGCTCAGAGACAGCAAATAACAAAAATCTTGATAAATAACACCACAATCTCAAACACTTAACAATAGACAGATAGATATTTTTAAATGCCACTATCCCTTTTTATACAAATAGCACCAAAGGTTCATTTAAGATAGAACAAACTCATTACCCTTTCCTCCTCTTGCTGTTCACTTTTATCTAAAGCAGCATCAACTGCATCAAAAAATTCATCTTCATTGATCATAGAATGAGGACCTTCCTTTAAAACAATTAAAAAAATTCCCTTTTTTAACAAACTTAAAAAACAGACAAAACTATACATATATTTTAACAGAGCAGAAATCAGTTTTTATTTCATAGCTTATTTTTCAGAATATTTCCTTTGGTTTAATAAATGGATACAAGAAACTAAGATTTAAACTTAATACACTACAGTTGCAACATGTAATATATTATATATATATGTAAGTTATATACTATAACAACATACAAGCATATAATAATACAAATTACAAAAAATAAATATTGACAGATGATTAAAATACATCTGGAATAAAAAACAGAAACTGAAATAGCAGTACACAAAATGAATTAAATTTGAATACCTGATTCACACCATGAAATGAGGCACAGATCAGTCCGGTATGAGCAATGTTATGTACATTTTCCATGTTAAATATATACATGCAATAGTATGCATGCATCATATATACTCTATAGAAGATAATCTTACTACTAATACAGGACCTTACAAATAAAACCCCACTTAATGTCCAGGGGGAAGGAAGCACAACCTCACTTGATGATTTGGAAATGACCTACTTAAATGTAGATTAAAATAATAAAATTACATGTAAAAGTTCTATTTTTTTATACACAGATGTAGATTTGTGAGTTCCAATCACAAGATTCGTGATTCCACAAGCCTTTTAAGATCTCTCTTATTTTTAATTCATAAAACGCATTAAAAAAATCTTACAATTTTCTCTGCCAAATAAACAGTAACATAACACATAAATTCAAATAAGAGATATTTTCTAGGCAGAAATTGCTGTTACAGACAAACTACACGAACCCCTTTTATATAACACAAAATGTACAACATATAAAATGTGTGATGTTTAATACTTACTTCATAATCTGGCCCACCAAGAACTATAGGTCGTATAGCTTTAACTTCCGATAATGCTTGTTTATAGGCTTCTTCAATTTTTCTCCTTTTGTCAGCTTCCTAAAGAAGGATTTAAATTACATCGTGTTTCTGAATGTTTGCATCACACAAATCCTTAACTAAAAACTGTGTACAAGAAACCCTTACAGAACAGTTTAAGAATACTGAGTCTCAGGAATATTCAAAGCATACATTTTCCTCTACTTTTCTATAAATAATCTCAGATAAAAATAACATGGAAAACGGAGCTGATTTTACTGTCACAGATCAACCTCTTCACATTCTGCATTAAATTTCCCTACTTTTAAATCAATGACAAGGCTTTGCTAATTTATGAACAGAGTTAACTTATACTTTTTAAATCAGGGTTTTCATGTATAAATATGCCGATTGATAAAAGATATTATTTTTATTACTACAAGAAAAAAAATTTCAATCAAAGAACAAAAGACTACATAAAGATGAAAGAAGTGAAAAGAAAAAGGCACAACTTTTCTTTTCACTTCTTTCATCTATGCAAAACGTAAATGTTGGCTAGCCTAATGATATGCAAATCATGTACAGCGCACAGTTTCGAAGTTGAGCATGTTGCTGAATTAGTGCAATTCTTTGATTTTTTTTAAAGCAAAAAACAAAATTGCAATATACTTGACCAAGTTTTCCCCTTGTACACAGCAATTTGTTTTCACTTCAGAAAAGTTAGAGAACTGCAAAAATTCACCACATTTTGTGACTGGTGCACTTTGTTAACAGAAAAGCTTTTAATTATTTATTTATTACATCTTACAAATTTTATTTAACTTCCAGTGCTAATAAAATATATTATTAAAAACTTTCAAGACTTCATTAAAAATTGCTATAATTGTTGTTTAATTGCAAAGATATATATTACTGATTATATGAACCAGAATAATAAAATAAGACTTGATAACGCCCCTACACTCCTCCTACTTTTAGTTCAGGAATAAAGATTGAGTAGTTTAAGCTTATGACTAATGGAAAGACCAGAAAACCAAAGAAAAAATTAAAACTCATTGTTAAACAGAACATAAATTATTATACTTTATTAAGATATACAAACTTTTATTAATTATAATAACGAAGCAAATGTTTTTATACATTATCAGTTTATCAGTTAAGTATATTACAAATCATAAAAACTTAAATGCATTACAAATTAAATCAATTAGTAACATTGTTAAATAATTCTTATGTTAAAACTAAGTGCTCACTGGTTAGTCTCAATACCCTAACTAAATATGATGAAATATTTACTTGGATTCTGATTGTTTTAACTTGCATGATGAAAATTCTATGTGTAACATATGATGGAATCATAAATAATCAGTTATTCATAGAAACTGTTAAAAACTTTTATTACTAAGATAAAATATATTCAATACATTTATTTCGAATGGTAAAAATGTTAAGATAATGAATCTTTCCCAGATAAATTAATCACAGTAAATAAATAAATGATATGGTACAAAGTTTGAGATCTGGAATCATTGGGACTTCAGTGATGTCAAATTTTGGATCATTATACTTGTTTATAAAATAATGAAGCATTTATGGGTAATAAAATCAAAATTTACAAAAAACGCTTAAATATATAAAATATATTTTTATTAAAATATGTTATATATATTTAAGAGTTCTTTGTATTAAAAATATCTTTTTATTTTATTTAAAATTTCTTTTTGTGTTAATTATTTAAGCTGTTTAATTTTTTGTGCTCTCTTCTTTCTTTTACTTCTTCTACTTTAAACTTTCTCTTTAATTTTATAGACAGACATAATTTCTTCTTCAGTTAGTCAAAAGTCTGCTAGTCTAAGCTGTTAATCAGCGTCTTGCGTAAGTTTAACAAGAATAATGTTTTCCTTCTAAAAAATCTGTCACTTTCATCACTATTGGTAGCATATTTTCTAGATTTATAACCATACTACAAATTTCACTAATGCTTGCCAACTGGGCCATTGTCATCACAAATAGTAAACATCTGCTTATCATTTTCATTTATTATTACTTCTTCACAAATTCCATTATCTGGAAAATTTTGCCTTCTATAGTGTTTACAATCTGTGACAAAATAAAGTTTCAAAAGTAGGCAAAACAGCAATCACATTTTTTAAGATCAAATGATGGCTACAGCATTCATTCTCTTGCACCAAACCCACTACAGGAAGCAAGTACTAAATATGCTCTCACTTTGCAGATCCTGGCTACAGCTTCAGAATAAAAAGGTATTTGTTTTCGACATAATTGAAAATTCATACTTAATCTTGATAAGATAGCTGTAATAATAAGACTGCAAAAAATAAGCTGGATCCAACTAGTTAAGAAAGAGTGCTATGCTACAATGCTTTCTCTATTCCCACAGTTCTGTCAACGAAATAAAACCAGTATCAGTAATATCCCCACAAGAAACAAATATGTGTTGGGGGTCAGACAGAAACACATTATGCCTATAACTTTCATAATAACTAAGGGCCAAAGGTATCTCGAATAATGTCAATGGTCTCATGCGATTCCTTAGCTAGCAGGGTTCGAAACTGACATAACAGGAATCTTAGTAGGAGAAAAATAGCTTTTATGATACACCTATATTTTCTTTATTATTATATTCTCCATTCCTAAGTAATGTAGTAAAAATAAATAAATAGATAAAAGGGTTCAGGTTTAATCATACAGATGGCACAGGCGGAATAGTGAAACATTGGTACTCGTGGAAAATCCTGTCAACCATTTTTGCCTATTGAAGAAAGAGACGTTAAACTACGTGATTTTTCACTGAAAATGGAAAGTCTTCTTCAAACATGCTGGCTTTGGTGTAAATTTGATTACATGTGCTAGTTATTATTCTTGAGTAAAGACTCCTTCTCCATCACACATTAAAAAAAATTAAAATTTGGGACCTGCCTACAACTGCAGCATGCTGTTGAATATTTCTAAAGTTATAGAATCTTACCAGCCTAAAAAAATGTGGGCCACGAAATGGCACTTTATTTAAAAACTGAGAAGCAATGGCTTTGCAACGTTAAGGTTTGTGCCACGCAAGAGTCAATTTGAAACGGAACGTGGTTCGAGAGTTCTACATTTTCATTTCTGACTGCACTCCGATTCATTTATAGTTGATGCAGAAAATTGACGACTATTGAATGGGGAAAAGAGAAAATGAATGGGGAAGAGTGATAATATAATACATTTGAAAGAAAAATAAGAATCAAACGTTTTTTCTTGGATTTAGTAAATGATACGTTTTATCACGTTTTAAAACTAACAGCTCTTTTTTGTTTGGGCTAAAAAAAAATGCTGATGGTTTGGAGATCTGGATATTGAACCTCCCGATTTCATACTTTGCACTATATAAATAAAAATTTTAAATTAATGATGTAACTTGCATTAAAAACTTTCTTTTATTAATTATAATGATGGTGCATATATTCATAAAATTATCAGTTGAATATACTATTAAAAATAAAGATATATAAAATATTTTATTTTAATGAAATGCAATTACAACTAAAATTTCAAAAATAAATTGAACAACTTGTGCCATACTAATAACACACTGAGAACTACACTACAGTGAAGTTAAAGCTCTCAAAGCAACTTGTCACTTCCTATAGCCTTATCACAATAAATGCTTAAGTAGCAATAAATTTAATGGCTCCCAAAATTGAGAAGAATTTACTATAAACATTTTTAAAGCTATGAAGCAAAATGTTCTAATGTGCAGATTCCCAATCCTTAATGGTTTTCTTCACCAATCTCCTAACATTTTTCTCTATAATATACAGCATACAACATAATCACAATGCAAATAACCACACAAAAATATAATATAAAATTAAAATTTTGTAATTCACCACCATGTGATATCTTAAAAAATAACCTCCCATGTACATTCTGGGTTTACTTGGTCAAATGTCATAGTACTCAGTAGTCTGACATAATTTTCTTGCCTTTTTGAACACACAATGCAGTCTCTCTTTCCACTTTTCCTGATTACATGCTGTTTTCTTTTCAATCTTGCATCAGAAGTTGATGCAGAAACTCTTGCTCTATCCTGACAAAAATCTTTTACGAGCTGATCGACTAAAATTTTCTGATAACCTAAATACATCAGTGCTTTCTCATTTTTATTATGTTATACAGTTTTATACAGAATGTATGAATTTATTATTGACATCTCCAATCCCCATAAAAACAGTTTCCACCACCCCTTGAGTGATTTCCTTAAAAAGCAATAATTAGAAGCATACTGATCCGCTCGAACAATACCACCCATCAACTTTGTGTATCTAATAAATACACTTGGCTTTTCGATTACTTCTTCTGTACCACCTCATACAAATCTTTAGTAGTTATCATTCGAGCATTATACCAGTTGCTAAATAACACCATTCTTTTTATCTTACCACACTCACAGCATTGTAAATTCTTTTTTTTTTTTTTTTTTTTTTTTGATCGTATTGGTCATGCAACAGTGAGTTTTTTAAAACTCTAGCTAAGAATACACTACAGTAATACCTAATGGTGTGCATGTGATATCCTTTTGCTTTAGGTACTCCATTCAATAACTCTTGGTACAGTTGCAGGTTAATTCTGGTGCTGATCAGTAAATCTGGCCTAGCAATCTAGCAGATTTTCGGAAGCGATGCTCCCATAATACAAAAGGATGCTATAAACATATCCCGTTTTTGAATCTGCCCAAACGTATATACGAATGGTCCACTCAGTCAGTTTATTGGGACTGTGTAATAAAACATAGTTTTCCCTTATATTTTATGATAAACTCATCAATTCATATATTTTGCCAAGGTGTGTAAAATGTTTAAATTATATATTAAAAAAAATACTTGCTCATTGTATACAAGTTCTAATATGATTTCTCACACAATTAGGCTTTTTCAAATGCAACACCAAGATTATCATACAATCTTATCCTTGAATAGATGTTACTAAAGAAAGGGATTCTAATATTCTTAACTGACTAGTATTCCTGCATATTTGCCAGAGGTATCACACCTCTATTGATGGTAACTCTGATAAAAGGGCAAAATCCATCTTTTTTCCACATCACATTATGCTTGCCAAATGAAGTTAATAGAATATCTCTTTCAAGCTTAGAACATTTTCTGCGCAGTTGTTGGTTTCTTTCATACATTCACTTGCCAATTCATCTGCGAAAAGCAATTTGAACTATTGTATCAGCTGTACAATATCTGAAGGAACTTGTGGTAGAATGATTTTTGACAACATACTAAAATGTATTCTTTCTGGAATACTAACTTTCTGTAACATCACACCATTCATCTAAGTCTTCTAACAAATCTTTGCTTTCACTATTAATAATTCTCATTCTTCATCTCTTCGGTGGTGTGATTTTACTACCACTACTTGAAGAACTAGAATCATAATCAACAATGTCTTCTAAATTATCTTTTAATACTTGAAAATCAAGTGCATCTTCACTATCATTCAGCTCTAAATTTTCATCATAACATTCGTTTGTCCCCATATTTTTAAACCATAAAAAGAGTTTTAAAATAATGTAACCTCAGTATTAGACTTTGAAATTGTTATCTGCAATTAAAACATTCTAACGCCAATAATGACTTAACATCTTAAGCATAATCATCCACAGCAGGGCTACTGGAATTACTGAACTAATGAGAAATGCTTACTAATACACTCATGTCCCTAAATTAAGGATAATGCAAAATCAGGCAAAGGAAGATTTAGAAGCAAAACAAATTTGACTTATTTCTAAAGCTTATTTATTAAACAAAAAGGTAACAAGCAAAAAAAGATGCTATATGTTTGATATTATTAAAAAAATTAGCGATTTTTTCCTCCCTGGAGCAAATTACAAAAAACCAATATTACATGGTTGGTATGATTGTTAATACATTGTATATCTCCCAGACGATGCGATACAGTACGTACAACGCCTAGGCATGCTGAGTATCAAATTATCGATCTCATCTTGGAGGATATTACACCACTCAAAAAGCAATGGTCTCCAAAGTTCCGGTAGACATGTAGGAAGAGGTTGACGGGCTGCAACTCATCGGCCAAGTATATCCCACACGTGCTCTACTGGATTCAAGTCCGGTGAGAATGCTGGCCAGTCCATACGGGTAATATCCTCCGATTAAACGCATTAGCTTACGATGCTTGCACGGTGAGGACGGGCGTTGTTATCCATAAACACAAATTGTGCGCCCATGGAGCCCCGAAACAAACGTACATGTTATTCCAAAATAACGTCCCGATAGATTTGGCTTGTCATAATTCCAATTTGAACATGCAGGTCAGTTCTAGAACCCAGAATAATTCCACCCCAAACGAGCACCTCTGCACCACCGTAACGGTGTCGTTCAATGATGTTTTCTTGGTGGTAACGGGTACCTGGAGCTCTCCATATGAAAGTCCGGCGAGAATCAGACTGCAAGCTAAACCTGGACTCGTCGGAAAACATCACACAAGCCTACTGTTGTGGTGTCCACAATGCATGCTCTCTACTCCAGGCTAACCGCAGGCGACAGTTAGTTGCAGTAAGTGGAACGCATCTGACAGGTCTACGAGCTATAGACCAATCTGCCCTAAGCGTCTGTACACCGTCTGCCTTGAAATTGTCGTACCAGTGGCTGAAGAGAGCTGACGAAACAAGTCTGAGGCTGTGCTCCGCCTGTTTCTTTTGGCAGTAACTGCCAAATGCCGGTCCTCATTCGGCGTTGTAACTCTGGGGCGATCTGTGCTGTAACGTCTACTCACATTACCATCATCTTGGAATCGTTGCCAAAGCCTGGAGATGACACTTTGTGCAATGCCAAGTTCCTCTGATACTTCCAGTTGGGTACGCCGACATTCCACATGGCCGATAATTCTACCACGTAAAAAATCATCCAAATGCGTCCTTTGTGTCATAACTATTCGGTTATTGCACTGAAATGCGAACGCTTCATAAAGCGCCTGCGAACAATTTTACTTCTTTGCCTGTATTCCTTATATATCACTCTCGTCATTGTGACGTACTATCGGTGTCATCTGGTTACTTTCTGAAATTTGCATATGATTCTTGACGATGTGTGTAGTGATTTTGCAGGTGATATATTTATTTTAGAGTTCGATTTCCGCGTGACTCCGAATTATCCTTAATTTATGGACATGAGTGTACATACTAATATTACTATACAGGAGCCTAGTGAAGTGCTAAAGGTTTGGTGGTGTGGTGGTGTATTTAATTATGGCAAAGCACACTAGGGCTATCTGCCTAAGAGGAGGGATGCCTTTCGTGGAGGACTTTCTAAGGGAAACTGGCTCGTATACACGTTACACATGGGGAAAACCACGAAAACACCCATGCAGCCAGCCCGTTCGCGGGATTCGAACCTCGGACCGAACTACCAGTGTTCAGCGACTTTACCGCTCGGACGCTGGTGGGCCTAGTGCTAAAGGTTTATATTTGGCTTAAAATTACTAAATTCTGAAATGATCTGTCTAAAAAATATTCATTTGTTTCTTGTTTTCCACAGCAAATTATTGACTTGACTATAGCCTGCTTTTACTACGTAAGAAGAGGGAAGAGTCAATGTTGGTTTGGCAATAACTTTTATTTTAGAATATTTTTCTCGGATGACTTTTAAATTCCAAAACTTACTGACTGTATCCACATGCTATGAATAAGACTTATGCTTGAACATTCACTCTCAATGCAATCAACTCTTTTTGCATCATATTAAAATGATACAGTGCAGTTCAGCGTTTCTATGAGACATGCAGCCATATATAAATATTCAATGTCTCGGAAGACAGCATTAAAATCCTCTTTTAAATTTTGTGACTTGTATATAACAATATATTCTGATGAAATACAATTCTTTTCAGTAATACACAATAGCATTAAATTACCAAAATAATGCAATTCTTTTAAATGCCAATATAAACCTATCCATATTAGAATATAACCCTCTCTAAAATTTCATCGACCCCTCCAGGGGTGTCAAATACCCAACTTGCCCTTAGGAATCTTTATCTAATGGCTTTTTATACGAGTTTAACATAATTACTTTTAATCTAGACTATGCCAGCTAATGATTTCAGATAATGATAACACCATAGTATGTATAAAGCATACATATTACGAAAAATGTAATAATTACGACTGTTGTATAAAATTTAAAATGCATAAAAAATATTAACACTCATTATGAAAAACCAAAGATCAAGGGCACTAAATTATTTGAATGCATTCATGCCCTCATAATCACTTTGATAAAGTATAAAGTCAAAACAATACTTAACAAAACAAGCTTGTAAACTTTACCAGTTACCTTTTCTAACCTCCTTTTCCAACTTTCTTCTCTCTGAGAAAATAACTCAATACAATGTGATAGTGTATTAAGAATACCACTTGTAGTAGCTTTAAATGTTATGGCTTCACCTTTGAAATCTATTGCATGGGCTCCATGTTGTGCAAGTAGTTCTTTGGTAATTATACCTGGATGACCTACAAGAGAAAAATTAAAACATATATTTTATGTTAATTAACACATTTTTTTAGATCTTATGGTCAATTCTCCTTTCATTAGCTCTCAACAAGATGAAAACGAGGTATGATTATTAAAGGCCAGGTTTTTGAAAGTTGTACATATAGAGTTCTTGGGAATGATGCTTGCCCTCCCTCAGTTCTGCCACATTAGTATTCTGACATTCGTCATTTTGTTAGCCATGTATCATTAGAGGTCTGAGCCAAGCTTAGTTAAGTAAAATTATGTAGTCTCTTGGTAAGAATGCATTTCAGATATGTAACTACAATTTTCTGTTATCTAATACGCGCAAAGTGGCAGAGTTTGATTTTATATGCACAAGTTGTATCTTAGTTAAATTCAGGTTTTAGCAAAAGATTTACTTTAAGTTAATAACTTCATTTGGAATTGTCTTTGATAAATATGATTCCTTTCCCTCTGTTAGGTGCTTTGACTGGTACTTAAGAGTTGAATTATGTTTGGCAAGCGGAGAAATTAAATTCAGAAAATTTCCTTCATTAGGTCGAGGACACTTTGTGAACAGGCTACTTGGGATTTCATCAGACCCAAGAAAAGGACGACAGTTTCTTGAAAGATACAGTACCACATTCATGACTATATATAATTTCTCTCCATTTTTCTTTTCTGTGTGAATGAGTCGCTCAGTGTTGCGGTCGATGCCTTAGCACGATTTCATTTGTTGTACTCGAATTTTCCACGTAATCATGCACCTCTGTGTATTCTAGACGTTTCTTGCTCAGTTAATCTTGCTAAAGCTCTTTTCTTCTAAGCTCCTAATACTAATGTTCTGTATTAATGTCAAATGTCTGCCATCACATTCAATGGGACTGAAGTTTACGTTTTCTGGATGTTGCTACTGATTGACTGCTTAAGAAAGATTGTTGGTGATCGTTCAATTTTTTTCTATGACCAACCAACTGTACGAGTCCAATAAATAAAAAATGTTTAGTTTTTTGTCTTTCTGCTGCCTGCCCCCATCTAAATGAAGAGATCTTTATATAATAGTTTCATGTCCTCCAGCTGTTTGTTTGATCTCGATGAAAAAGATTGTTCTTTCAAATGCTGACTTGTAGATTGTTTGGGGATGATATATGCAGTCATGTTTTGTAGTGCAAATTGCAAGAAATATTAATACCATCTAGAATCTCAGCATAACCGAAATTGTGGCAGGGTCTGACGGTTTACTTCTTCTGTGAAGTTATTTTTTCATCTTAGCTGAAATTTGTTTTCTCCGTTTGGTCTTAACTTTGGCTTGTTTTCTATATTCCGCTTTTCTCCCCCTTGGCACACAAATGGTTTCTTTTAATCTTAATGAAACATATTTTGAATTGTCTTAATAAGAATAACTAAGAATTGACGTAATTACACTCAACAGTCCTAAATAAATGGTTATGTCTTGCAAAATAAAGTGCCGGCTTAAGCAAGCATATCTAAAAAAAGGGGGGGGGAACCGGAAAAAAAAAGAGAGTACAGAAGAGACCTGAAAACTAATATATATATATATCCAAAATGCACTCCACTATTCCTTTAAAATCCAAAATGCGCTTCACTGTTTTGAGTCAAACCAAAGGTGAGCCTAAGTTGCCGACTGGCTAGAAAAAAATCTAAATGCCCTGCTTCATTTTGAAGACAAAATGTCGGTGTCTTGTATATACTCGATGAATATTAATTTGAATTATTTCATTTCTCTAGGATGGCCCAAGATTAATTTTTTAAATTAGGTCTTAGAAAATAGTTACAATGCTTCTCCATTTCTGAGCAGACGTTGCTATGGAAGCCAGGCAAATTCTTCAACAAGATATCGTTCTATTTCTCGTTTTGAATACACCCCAGCGAGACAAGAAACGATAGAGGGAGTCCAGACTTTACTGATAGGGTCAATCTGATTCTATCAGTGACGTCTGGAGTCCCTCTATTGGCCTCTTTCTGATCTTATATTTATAGCTGTAATCGGCTGTACTTTATTTCAACTCATGTTCCTTTAAAAGGGTTCTTAGTATTAATCACAGATCTTTTTAAAAGAGGTTTCTAAACTTGGCCTTAAAACTATTAACATTGTATTAAAATTAGAGAGCTGTTTTAGCGAACAACATACTAAATACGATCCAGCGTTTTGCCCCCGCTACATCCAGGACTGCCTCTTTAGTGTCAACAGAGACCCTGTACAGAACCTTCGCTTAACCTCATTGTTTCTAGCAGCATATGAATCCTTTACATAAATAAGTGGTTCCCCAGAGATTTAAATTACTTCCAGCAAATGTTTTTGAAGAATGTTCTCCCCCTTTTCATGTCTTTACCCATGAAGAGCTTCTGGATAACAAGCAGCAGAAGTGTGAGCTTTATGAAGTTCGAACTTTGCTCCTGAAAGTCAAATTTTTCCGTAAGATTAAAGTTCAAGAAACTTGAAAACAGATGGTGCTTTGCCTATTTTAAAAGAGTGCACAAGAAAGCAATCAGGAATTTTGCAACTTTTGTTCAGGAATGACTAAGTGTTTTTCACTACTTACAAACATATATTTGGGACAACTTCATTAAGAGCCACATGGTTTGAATTATATATTCATAATGTTTATTCCTACTTTGAATGACAGTCACAGAAAATGGAGGGAACTGTCAAATGAGAAAAATTAAGGACTGCTTGCAAATTTTTACCAAAATAAAGGATTCTTAAGAACCAAAAATCATTCCCCCCAAAAAAAACTAAGGATTCTAATATTAATAAATGCATATATTTCTTAATGATTGTGTTTTAATATCTTAGTTACAATGAAAATGGTTAAAAACCTTTAATAGTAAGATTACACAATGATTAAAATTTTACTTCATTTCATCCATGGTTATCTTGCGTAAAATACTTGTACTTGAGGAAAGACTTAAAATGTCAACCAGTATTACAGGATCTTTTTTATACATATTTTTAAAACAATTTATTTAGTTACTGATGAAAAACATACTTTTACAAACTGAAATAAATGACCGTATTTATCCCCAATTAACAATATGCTTTTGTGCTTATGACCTTTTAAAACTACATATTTTCGTTTTTTTTGGGGGGGATAGCTGAAACAATAATACTTTTTTAAAGCTTTTTTTTTTTTAAAAAAAGCAAAGAAAAGAAAAAAGCTGGGTATTCAATATGCAAGCTAAGATTTAAGGTCACACTAAAGGACATTTACATACACATTCATATTATCCTTTTTCAACTCCAACTGTAAAATTTTTTTTTTACACAGAAAAATTTCTGCAGAACCCAGCTAAATTAAAGTAACTACTTCCAAATTTGTTTGAAGACTCTGAAAGTAGAAATTTAAAAAATTTTCAAATTATCTAAATAATATTCAAACTTTTTAAATTTGTAGGTTTTGTCAGGCTTTGTAAATCTAAGAACCAAGTACATAATTAACTTTGTTAAGTTCATAATATTTGAAAAAGCGCAAAATAATATATAAATTGTGCAGTTCCTCCAAAACTTCCAACTACATGATCTTAAAGAAACTCAACAAGTAACTGCATTAACCCTTTCAGGACGGGCGTCCCATATATGAATTCCCTAAGAATGTCTCTTACAGCTGGGCGTCCCATTCACGCATCGCTAGAGATTGCATTCAGAGGACAGGTGATGCGTATACGCATTTTAAGCTGGAACGTTTTTCTGAAGGCCACTAGATGGCATCCTATGTCCATTAATTTTGAAATGAACACAGTTTTAAGTTCCTGACCTTGAGTTTGATATATTCTGCTTGACTTTGGTATTTTACTCATCAGTTCTTGCGAGGGGGGGGGAGGGAGGGAAAGTGTAAACAGAGGTGAGCTCTTTAAATCGCTGCATGCTAATGAAAACATTCGTGTGTCTGATTTATATCCAATCCTTTTTTTTTATTCTATTTTTTCCTTTACTATGTACGGGCTTTTAGGGTTAGTATGTGGAGTACTGTTATGTTTTGCATTGCCCTTCAGATATATTTCCGGTTCTTCACTTTTTATTTCGGAAAGCCTCACCTCCAGTCTATTATGGCAAAAAGGCGCCAGAGGAAGAATACCCTCCTCTGGTCAATGAACCATTTATTAACGCAGATGAGAGTGATAATTCATTTTCTAAAGAGTTAGAATGTGATACTTTTTCTAAGAGTTAGAAAATGATACTTCTCTGTGCTTCGAGATTTACCAATCTTCATTTTACATTTTGTTACTTCTTACTGTAAATAGTCTTTAATGTGTTGTTTTAGTAATTTAAAACTTTGGAATAATTTGAATAGCGCTACCGAAAATTATTTTACAAGATAAGCAATTTTTTAAGTATATTTTCATATAAAATAAAGAAAAAAATGTTATTAAGAACTAATTTTAACATATATAAGAGCTAGGAAACGAAACTTTTTTTTTTTTTTCTGATTTTTTTTTTTTTTTATATATAAAATTATGCTTAGTGATGCAAAACCTCCATCCTGTACGGTGACTGCCTTCAATTCCCTTCCGTCCCGCACGAGCGTCTTAACCAAAGATAAAAAAATACAATACAAAAACATTATTAACCCTCTGTCTGATCATCCTGCAATTTCCACGGGCAACTCAAATGTAGCAAAATCTGCTCATCCCGCGATTCCTGCGGGCATATGTTTTTCTCCCTTTATTGAGGAGCGGATCCTATTTTTCCACGTTTAACCACTGAAATAAATTATATGGCCAACAGATATCGTTAATTGTCCACTAAACTGCGGTGTTAGAAGGCACATGGTATTAGTGCTCAAACTTCACTTTTTTTTTTTCCCTTACAAATGGCTGCAAGAAAACGTTTAGCGATTATCTTTATTATTTAATTAAATTATTGAATTATTAATTAGATTTATTGATTAGATTAATAATTAGATTGATTATTAATTAGATTTATTGAATCTGGTGCAAAGACTGTGAAGTTGGACTTTGCCTCGAACCCTGTTTTGAAATCAATCATACTAAACTGCATTTCTAAAGTATTTTTCCCTCAGTACTTTATATTATCTTAAATTTTACACATTTTACTTTTTTATATTATGCAATAAATAGAAATTAACCGTAATTCGACTGAAATTTATTAAAAAAAAATTTTTTTTTTAGTGATAACATCTGAAATTGGTTTTTCTGGCAACTTAGTTTCATAATCTAAAAAACCTATATAAAAAATATTTTCTAGAAAGAAAAAGTGGATTTTTCCATTCTCCAATATATATATCGATTTAAAATATGAAAAGAAGGTGGGGGAAGCGATTTTGGTCCACAAATTGAGCAGTCAGAGGGGTAATATGAAACCAACTGTTTTCTTTTTATGGCTCATGGTCTGCAGGCATTTTACTGTGATAACCATTTTGTTATACTCCTACCTATATTCCTATACCATGGATTTTAACATTGCATTTTTAACCATCACATTTACCTGCACTAATAATGCTTAAATGATTAACACTTTGAAATCAATAATAACATCATAATTACACTTTAAAATATGGCTGTGTACTAGTTTAAAACTCTAAGCATTCAAGAACTAACAGCAAATTTGGATAATACATTTGTGATGGTAAATAAAAATCCATTGGCAATTTTTACTTTAATATTAAATTATAAACATATATAATCCTCAGAATTAAAAATTTAACACGTATTAATATAACATTTTTGCAAAGGACATTATGACACTGAAAAATACCTGAGAGAATGGTTGTCAATGAATTTAAAATCTTGCATATTTTTAAATAACATTACATTTCTTTACAAATACTTTCCTCCTTTAATATTGATACTGGTGCTTTTGAAATACAATTACTGGAGTTAAAAAACATAGAATTACAGAATTTCAAATCTGAACACATCCTTTATGCTGATATGAAAAAAACTGGAGAAAAGCAAATGTGATCTTAGTTCACAGATAAAGTGGTCTGCTTTAAAAGAGTGAAAAAGGAAGATATGATAATTTTCAACACCTGGAGTAGTATTTCTGACTCACATGATGAGTTAAAATAACTAGCATTAACTGTTCTTTCAGTCTTTGGCTTTATATATTTATGCAAACAATCTTTTTTTCAAGCATGAATCTTATCAAAAGCAAATTTAGAAATCTTATTGATGAGAACCTGGAATCCTGATTGGAATTAAAAATGACGGGATAAAAAATCTCACTTTTCCAAACCTTCCAAGGAAATGCAAGGTCACTGTTCACATTAAGTGCGTTTTGTGCAGGGCTGTGGAGTCGGTAGGGAAAATGACCCACTTCGAATCCTGGAATTTTACAGACTCCAACTCCCTCACATGTAAACATATACACATGGGTTACAGCTTATTTTTTAATATAAAAGAAGTAAATACAGGGGTTGGACAAAAATGTGGAAACACCTTTAAAAAAACATGTTTCTTTGCTTAATATGGTGTAGGAAACCCGTTGGCATCCAAAACAGCTTGCAGTCTTCTCGGAATGGATAAATACAGTTCCTGTATGTTTGCCAAGGGAATATTATACCATTCTTCCTGCAAAACGGTGGTAAGTTCAGATAATGATGTTGGCGGTGGATAACGAGAACGCACTTTCCGTTCCAATGTAGACCACAAAGGTTCGATAATATTCAGGTCTGGTGACTGTGGCGGCCAGGGGAGATGGGACAACTCATCCTCGTGCTCAGAAAACCAGTCCTGGACAATGTGAGCTGTGCGAACAGGGGCTTTGTCGTCTTGGAAGACACCATCACCATCGGGAACAAAATTTGTACCATGGGATGAACTTGATCGGCCAAAATGTTCACATAAGTCTTGGCAGTCATGTGCCCTGACACAGTTATCATGGGGCTAGCAGAGAACCTCGATATGGCTGCCCAAACCATAACAGAACCCTCGCCATGTTTCACTCTTGGCAACAAGCAGTCTGTATTATAGGCTCGAGATGGCGGTCTCCAGACGTAAACTTGACCAGAAGTGGGAAACAATGTGAAAGAAGACTCGTCAGACCATATTACTCGCTCCACTGCTCTATAGTCCAGGCTTTATGACTTAAATATCACCTTTTCCTGTTACGGGCATTAGCATCACTGATGAGTGGCTTCTCAATTGCAGCACGGCCAGCAATTCCCTGTTTATGAAGCTCCCTTCTAATTGTTTTGGTACTCACAGGGTTCGGTAACACAACATTCATTTCAGTAGTAACTTTTGCAGCTGTGGTCTTCTTATTTTTCGTCACAATTGCCCTTAATGATCGTCTGTCATGATCACTCAGGAAACACTTTCGTCCGCGCTGTGATTTAGCAGATGATGTTTTTCCGCTTTTCAAATATGCGGAATAAATCTTCGATACAGTACCTCTTGAAACACTAAACACCTCGGCTACCTTGCTTACGGAAGCACCTACCATACGTGCTCCAACAATTTGCCCACGTTCGAAGTCTGTTAACTCTGACATAATGCAAGGATAACCTCACATAACAGTACTCCGACAACAACTGAACTGTTTAGCACATTTACGAAGTTGTATAGGTGGCGTCAGTAGTCAAAAACACCAGCGCCACCTATATATTTCATTAAAATCAATCTTTCTTTTCAAACATGCATTTCACAAGGTGTTTCCATATTTTTGTCCATCCACTGTAGATGCTACAGGAAAAAAATGATGGCATAGCAAATTATTTATATTAATTAGCATTTATTATGAAATGGAAAAACTGGCATTAGTTATTTCTAAGAAACAGTATAACTTCAGCAAGACCTTCTTTGTTGAAGGGCCATAGATCCGATTTGATAAACTTCAGAGCTGAGAACTTTCCACACTAACTTGAGTAGGAGGAAGAGCTATTACTGTTAGGGCTACTTCTTTTAACTTTTCAGGATAGACTTTTTATAAGTCCTAAAAGAGGTCTTGCAAGCACAATCATATTTCTCTATTTCTTCAAAGGTCGTGTAGAAATCTTGTTTTATAATTTTTTATTTTTATATCTAAAGGCTTTTGGTTCTTTATTTTCATTCGCTTTGTCTTAGCCTTTTCAATATTATCCAAAAATATTTCTCAAAATCTAATTCATCACTTAAAGAGGATGATAGAGACTCAGTTGCAATGTCTGCAGTTTGACTGTCCTGATTCGAATTATCCAATTGTTCTGAGAATAATTTCATTCTTAATGAAAGTTCATAGATGGCATTCTTTGCCTTTTTAAATTGTTCATCGTCGAAGAAAATTCGGTGTTTCAGATCTACATATATTGAACTCAGTAAGATTCTTGCAAACTAGTTTCTCTTTTTTTAATTGAAGAAATGATTCCTTCTGCAATAAAGCTCCATTTCAGAAAGAACAAACATCCCATTCTTCCATTCTCACCTCCAGTCAACTCTTCAGACTGTAGCTTTTTTGTGGTTACATACGGTGTAGAAAGCAGAGTTTATAATTCTGCCACAGTCTTTCTGTTAGTGAAACATTAGGGTTATCTACATCTTCTAAAAAAGTCCTTAATTCTAAAAACACTTTATCATCAAATATGTACTTCCTTATCGTGTTACTTGATCAATAATTGCTCCTTTTCCTGCTCGCTTCCTAAGAATGTCATCAATTTTGGGAGTTATTGCTGTTTACATAAATTTGCCAGTGAGATTTGTAACTAAATGAATCAATTTAATCACTAGTGGCAAATATCACATTCATCCTTCTCCCTTATATTTATTTATTAATACGTCAATAAAATAGAAAATAACTATTTATTAATGTATGCAGTCCATAAATAAAAATAATAATTCATCTTATCATTATTTTTTCAATTCATTTTAATTTCATTTCAAATTCAACCTGTACAACAAAAACTGGAGTCGGAGTCGACCTGTTTTTAGCGACTCCAGCTCAGACTCCTTTTATCCCAAAATCTACTTGACTCATTCTGACTCCACAGCCCTGGTTTTTTGTCATGTTTTTTTATTTGAATGTTAAAAAAAAAAAAAAAAAAAAAAAATTAATGAAAGAGTATTTTTTAAATAAGATTATTATTATTACTACAATACCTGGTTTTTAATGTTAGTGTCATCCTACAAACTCTTTCCTAGCAATACTTCAACACAGAAGCTATACATTTTACAGCTCCATACTTCCATCATCTTCAAAGAACTCTCAGTGCACAAATCAATTTCATTCAACACTGAAGAGAAGGCAAAGCAAAAAGCAAAATTTCTACTGATTTTGTGCTACAATTTTAGGTCCTAACTTATTTTTTTAATTTAATTCTATTTTTAATGCCTTCTTTTTTTTTTTTTTTTTTAAATTTACAAATTCTTTTTCGAGAACACCGAAGTCTGGTATTTCACTCTGGACTCAATCCTAAATAAAATTCCACATTCTTTTCAAATCATCCTCCTAACAAAACCCTAAATTGAATTTTTTAAATAAATAAATTAATAAATGCTTCACTTATAAATACACAGAATTAATTAATAAAAAATTACACTAACTCTTTTTACTGCTATTCTATTTTATGACAATTATAAGATTATCCTACAATTCTGTATAACAAAGATTAAACCATGGGTAATAAAATAAAAATACATACTTAAAGAAATGTCAAGCTTTATAAAATAATTGTTTAGGAGGGGAACTCACCTTTAAAACGATGAGCAGGAGATTCATGATTTCGCTGCTCAATTATGTCCCGAGCACTTTCATCATAATCTTCATCAATGTCATCCACTAAAAAAAAAAAATTCTTTTTCTTAACAAATTACTTTATCAGCTTTACATATATTTAGAAAAGTCAGATAACAATAACCTAATTTTTTTAAATCTTAATTATGTATATATACATTCCAAAAGAAAAGCAATGAAAAAAGCCTTGTATAAAACTCAAAATAAAGTCTAATCAATTAATATAAACCAAGAAAAGAAACATATCACACTTCAATTACTTTTACCAGAGAAGACTTTAGTACTGAGATAAGATAAAAGTTTAGCACTGAGATAAGATAAAAGATTAGATAAATTTGATAATGACATAGCATGTTGCTGACATAGTCAGAGTGATAACATAAGCTATATCGTTAAATAATACAAAAATCTACTTTACATTAAATACTAAAATTAGCAACAGAGGTTCAGATTTTGCACATAGTTTTAAGCTTTAGAAATATAAATCTTCCTACTATACATTTATATTACCCTTACTGCATCAATTTATCATAATTTCTTCAATGATAAACAATGCAATTTTAAAATTTGCAATGATAAAAGCAATTAAAACATTTTAAAACTTTTTCCTATTCATAATATATATAAAATTTTTAAATATTAAAAAAAACTAAAACTATGAATCTGCATAAAAATAACACTGAGAATTCTCATTAAACTTATAACACAATAGATGATAAACTGGATTCTTTAATTTTATTTTATACAATTTATAATTTTTTTAATATTTAAGTAAAAATTCTCAAATTTAGTATCTTTTCCCTTATAACAAAGTGAATGCAGAAAATTGCACTGACTGTAGATAAATGACTGATCAAAAGGATGATCATGATTAAAAATTATACTATACACTCTCAAATATATAGAATCACACTAAATCAGTTATAGATTTTTGTAAAAAGCACAGTAAATTCTTTTTAGACAGAAAATTTTAAGAATTTTATTGAAAAAAATTGATTTTTGATATCTTAATACAAAAAGCCACAATTATAAGCATCTGTAAATTGCATTCAAGGTTCATCTTTCAGCTAAATTTATGAATTTGAGTATTCATTCCCAGGCTTCTAATCCTAGCATATCTGTTTACAACTACCAAAAACCAAGATAAATTTAAGTTTGAAAATCAAGACAATATTTCAAACAGCCACAATTATAAGCATCTGTAAATTTCATTCAAGGTTCATCTTTCAGCTAAATTTATGAATTTGAGTATTCATTCCCAGGCTTCTAATCCTAGCATATCTGTTTACAACTACCAAAAACCAAGATAAATTTAAGTTTGAAAATCAAGATAATATTTATGGTTCAATTGAAATCACAAGGCTATATGATTTCAATTGCATCACACCTGATCTCTGCCATCAATCTTTAGTTTTAACATAAATGTACCAACGTCGGATGAATAAATTCTCTATGGTTAAGAACAGTAAAATAGAGCTATATAAAAAAACAATTTAAACCACATTTAATCTCCTATTCATTTTTTAAATCTGTAACTCTAATAAACTTTGGGGGGAGGCGAGCAGCTAAGCATATTCTAAAAGTCTAAAATTTCAGAAAATTTTCTTATACAAAGTGAAGCGATCAGTTTGAGTTCACAATAATATCAATAGTTTTAAAAGTATTCATACCACGCCACATTATGTAGGCAATGCATTCAAATGAAGATACTGATACATTATTATCTAATAACATATTCAAGCTTGATATTTTTGTCCCCCTAACTAATACAAGGGCAAACTACATGGCCCTTGTATGGCCATGTACTTTATATTGATTACGGAGTACGAGTTCAAATAGTTGCGGGATCCGGACAATATCCGATTAGTCTATGTCTCACCTGCCCCCTAACTACAGCATGTTTCTGTAAGATACGAGTAAATTATAACAACTGATGTATTTTAAGTACACATTTTAAATAATATTTACCATAATCATGGAATGTATACATATTTTATATAGTTTTTTATGTTGTAGGATCAAAGATAAAAAACAATGTTTTTATCACATTTTGTAGTTTTTTCCTTTCTGCGAGAATAACAGCTGCAGATGCTCATAAAACAATTTGTACTGTACATGCAGGGGCGTAGCTAGAGGGGGGCATCTGTCCCCGGGCGCAGAATCCAAGCGACGCCAAACTGATGTTACGACATTTTAGAATTAAATGTTTTCTATCCTTGGCAAGCAATAGGGATGCAAAATCTTCAGTTGTCCCTGGGCGCTGAAAACCCTAGCTACGACTCTGCATACATGGTGATGACGTAATAACATGATACTCCAGAATTAGTTTGAAAATTTTCATTCTGGTGAATTTTCTGTTCTCTATCATATACGAATCATATATTTATAATTCTTAATAAGTGATTCACAATCTGGTAGAGCATACTGAGACTGATGATTGCTGGTTACATACACTGACTTACGCTAATCATCATAAAAGTACATTAACACTGGTGACCATTTGAAAAAGCTCAGTATTGAAATCCTACAAAATGAAATTCAATTAAAACAGCACACCAACATATGTCATTTGTTTCTGAAACACAATCAAAATGATCCATTTTTGACACCACTAGTAACAGGTGATAAAAATAGATTGTTCACAGCAACACTGAATGAAGAAGACTATGGTTCAAGCTTCATAATATGAAATCGTGATTTATGAAATAATAAAGTATTTGTGATCTAAAGGGTATTAAAATTTATTAAAAAAAAACTAATATTTGTTTACCTTATTAAACATTTCTTTCAATGCAAGTTGTTTTGTTTAGTTTTTCTTTTGTTTCAAGATTTCCAAATGACTTGTCAATTGAAATTTTCTGGTTTTCAGTAAGTTCTCTGTCACTTTCTTCACTACCGGTAGCGGTATTTTCTAGATCTAGAACAACATTACAGTTTTCGCCATTCATGATTTTAAAATTAGCGGCTATCATCATCATATTTAGCTATCCTTTACTATACATATTTGGCTATGCCTCATGAGCTTGGCGACTAACGACAAGTTGTTCCGTTAAATTCTATCATGCTTCTATCGACACCGAGACAATTAAGCCTGAATTGTATTAGTTTAGTTATTTATTATATTTATGTCTATTTCTTGCACATGCTTAAGGCTTATCAGAGTTCTGAATAAATAAATTCCCCCATATAGTTAAGACTTGAGGGACAGTGCTAGATATCTTACCGCCTGATGCATTATGCCTGATGTTTTTATGCAAATAGAATTATTTATTTGCATAAAAAACTTTTTTATTCTAATGTAAAAAGAATGCGGAAACAGTTTCCCCGACAACTCAACATTTTACACCTATAATGATGATAAACAACAGCATATTTGATAGGAAAGAATACATAAAACTGTGAAATTCTTATACATAAACATCAAGTTGAATTAACTGTTTAGCTCTTACTGTGAACATCATTATCCTTATGGCTCTCATCAACATTTAGCATCTCAGCACAGACATCAAAATAACTCTGGAGAGTATCTACTTGACGACATAAAATATCCTTAAATGTTTCCATTTCAGCCAATTTTTCTCTTAATCCACGGGCTTTTTTAAAAGATGATATACTGGCATTTGAAAGGCTAGTAGAACCGACAGACACAGCAGAACCATGACGTCTGAGACTGTTTTCACTACCATATGCAGAATCAATCTATTAAAGAAATTTAAAAATTAAACATTCATGTTTTCAAAAAAGAAGGGAGGAAAGGAAAATCACTATTAAAGATAATTAACAATTCTAGAAAAAAGAAAAAAAAAAAAAAAAAAAAAAAAAATCACAATTTGAACATTTATTTAAATGTAGACATTTTTTCATTTATCATTAGAACTGTTCACATCACCAATTATAATAAGGTACTTATGTATTATCCCAACCACCTTGGTAGAACTCGCTGAATTTCGACAAGTTGTTCCGTTAAATTCTAGTTGTTGACAAGTTGTTCCGTTAAATTCTAGTTGAAAAAAGTTGACAAACTCTGGGAACCACGCACATAACAGTTCTTCAGGTAACCATATCCCTTGCAAACTGAAATCCCAAAACATACCAAATTATCTTTTTCTTCTGTACAAAATCGCTAAACTGCACCAAGGTGTATGTCAATATGTAAGTACCAGCAAAAAATGTAAAATTGTTGGATCTCATTAAAAATCATTCAAAACAGTTTCTGACAAATTAATTCTTTTGAATTACATCATTTGACAGAAAGCTGCAAATCAGCAGCAAAGCTAAAAAATTTCTTTAAGTTATTAACATATTAAATGGCCAAAAAGATCATTTATTTATTATCTCAACATCATTCTCATAAAGGTGTAAGTTAACAGTAAAGAAGAAATATACTGAAATATTTTTTGATTAACTCACAAAAAATATGTCTGAACAAATTGAAAAGTTCTGCAAAAAGATTTCTACATATAAAATACTCATAACTAAAGATGAAGTTTTTTTCCCTGTGAAGATACAGTCAGTAAAAATTCAAATGATGAAGTCAGTGGAGGAAAAAATGCAAAAATTATTTAAATTGTCTATTTATAGATAAATTACTCGGATTAGAAGAGTTGCCTTTTATCTAAGACCAGTAGAAATGCACTAAGGCAATTTGGGTTATTAATGGCACTATGACACAATTGTTACAAAAGTAAAACAGTCTGATTGGCTTTTTACCTTTCACATTCTTACTAATTGTTACCTAACTATTTCACAGAATATCAATTTAAAATAGATGTTAAAATAGGAAAGTAAATATATCTTATAGCTTTCCATTTTCCTATTTAGTGAATTATTTACATTCAAGAAAATAAACTGAAATTAAAAAAAGACTGACAGTATATGTAAACACATGTTTGAATGAACATACTGAAGGATAATGGCATGGTTGCAACAGGAAGACATTTATCGGCAACTTACTGTCATTTTTTGTACTTTAAAATGCTTTTGATCAAGAATAAAACACAAGTACTTAAAACAAGTTTTCAGATCCATGCAAGTAATATCTTTTAGTACCATTAGAATATTATAAGCCTTATAAAGGGAATAGCTCTTTATTATACCTGCAAATTACATCTACAGAAAACAAGGAAATGGCACTTACTACCTTGTATGCATTCAATGTGTCCACCCACCGATTTCTCTCTTCAGGTGACTCAGCTCGTAGGTACCATACACAATCATGGACACTTACATCAAAACGACATTCATCAAATTCATGAGGCTGTAATTAAATAAAACATTTAGTCACATGGCAAAGAAATTACATTTATATAATATATAAATATTAAATGAATAACTTTTAATTTATAGAGCTTGTCTAAATGATTAAAGAAGGGGTCAACAAACTATTAAACTATTTTTAGGCTTGATCTGTCAATCAAGCCTAAAAATTAATATTGTTTTTTACGTGGCAAAATTAAAAAAGAAAATCAAATTATGAACAGTAATACAACAGCTGATGGCTGTGCTGAGAAGCTGTGAATAATGAGTGTCCATGACTTACAACATTTGCATTCTGTTGTTTAATACTGCAAGTAAGTGTTACCAGTTCTTTCAGTTTTGGTTTAGCAGCACAGGTGGCATTGTTTGTTAAAATGCTCCGTGATATTTTGTTCATTTGATTTATTACCATGTCACTTTCAAAACCAAGTAAGAGAAGAAAAAGTGGACTTTGAAGGTCATGCTTTTAAAGCAGAATGGAATGTGAATTATTTTGTCACATAATTAAAAAAAAAAAAAAAAAAGTATTATATTTATTATGCGATGCTAAAATAGCTGTGCCAAAAAAGTACAATATACATTGTCATTATAACACTAAGCAAATAAAATAATATTCAAAACTTGTACAAAATTAAGGAACACTTAGAATGGAATGTTTCATTCCAATGTAATATATTCATAATAATAATAATAAAAATATATATAAGGCATTAGTAATAAAAGTCAGCTTATTATCTCAGCCCTCCAAAAAATATATAGTGTTACGTATTTTTCTTCTTAAGGGTTTGTGCATTTGGAGTGAATAATGCCGATAGCATTTAATGAAGTATCGAAACATAATTTATTAGCCAGTATTACTAAGGGCAGCTCCAAAATCACATTTACAGAATTACTGATGTCGAAAAACTACTATAAACATGCTGAAGCAATCAGCAACAAAGCCTTCAGACTACACTGGTGTGCAAAAATTAAGGACGAAGTCGAAAAATTAGCATATCAGCTGAACGAAGAGGCAGAGCGGACAGAAAGACCAATCAGGAGATTAAGTAAGGTGATGAACGGTAGCACATGCGCAGATATGCAGGTAGACGTAATGGGGGAGTGTCTGAGTAGTATAAAGCATGTTGTCGGGGTGTAAGATCAGTATTTCTATCAAAGAGATTGCATGCCGTATAGCAGTTAAAATCACACAGAGTTGCTGCCTCAGCGAGAAATGGCGAATAATCAATCTGTTAGACGACATCTGGATGCTTTTATCCGAGGTCAATCTTTGGGAAGTTGGAGGAAGGCCGCAGTGTGACTGCAGAGTTTGGAATTGCTCACAGCATCGTTTCACGACTTTGGAGACAATTTCAAACTACAGGAACAGCTATCCGGGGGTTTAGTAGTGGTCGTCCATGAGGAACCACACCCGCTGATGACCGGTATATTGCCTTACAGGCCAGAAGAAACATGCGGCAGACAGCGGGTGAAATTGCTACACACACGACACATCGCGTTTTACTGTGGCCAGAAGACTGCACGGTGGTGGCCTGTTTGCACGACGCCCTGTACGGTGTGTACCTCTAACGCCTGCCCATCGGAGAAGGCGTTCTCTGTGGTGCCGGGAACACCGAAATTGGAGAGACAACGAATGGGGACGAGTACTCTTTACAGATGAGGGCAGATTCGGTCTGAGTAGCGATTCTCATCGCATATTCATCTGGAGAGAGCAGGGAAGCCGCAATCATCCCTCGAACATCATTGAAAGGGACAAGTATGGCGGTGGCGGTGTTCTCGTTTTGGGAGGCATCATGCTTGGTAGTCGTACAGACCTTCACATCTTCGACGCAGATTCAGTCAACGGGACCCGTTATTGTAACGACATTCTTCTTCCATATGTGTGTCTTTTTAGAGGCGCTATGGGTCTGCAGTTCCTTTTCAAGGACGACAATGCACCATGTCATCGCACAGTAGCTGCCGAACAGCTCTTACAGAGTGAAGATATTGAACGTATGGATTGGCTGGCACGATCTCAATCCCATCGAGCATGTATGGGATTTTCTAGGCAGACGCTTGGCAGCTTGTACCTTACCACCAGTAACGATTCAGGAGCTTCGATTGGCGCTGCAAGATGAATGGGCAGCAATGCCTCAACAACTCATTGACACCCTCATTCTCAGCATGGGCAGACGCTGTGAAACCTACCTAGCAGTCAGGGGAGATCATATCCCCTATTAAAGACACGATGTTTCTTCCTGGACACCCATCACAGGGATGTTTCGGCCTTCAGTCGCATTGCGCTCCATGCTACTTTTTCAATAAAGCTTCTTTTTATCCCTCTGATTTCTCTTTTAGTAAGTGTTGCTTACATTACTCATGTCCTTACGTATTGGGGATCTTACAGTATTAAATGTGTTGATTTGGAAAGCTTTTGAACAAAGTTATATTGAAAAAACCGCCTCGTCCTTAATTTTTGCACACCAGTGTATAATAGGGGATACAACCTGACGGCAAAGCACCAAAGTACAGCTGCCAACTCTGCTCAGTCATTCACGGAGCTCAATACACTCAAGATAAAACTCGACGATGCAAATAAGAGATTCTCTCAATGCACTCGACAACCAAATCGGCACCAGACTACGAGGCACACTCTCTTAACTGACTCGACTAGGCACTGAGCACTCGCTGACTGACTCTCTGCACAGCAGTAAGGTTTATATAGCTTTTGGCTTGTGTTTGAGGACATTCTAGGTTAAACCAGTAAGAATTTGTTCCAGAAGGTTCTCTTTCTGTCTATGGCATATCACCGATTTCATCGCCAAATGGACGATTTCTCACCAAATATGGCAACCCTAAACATGCTTCGCCTTACCAAGCCTGGACGATTTGTAACAATATATTACATTCACTGCTTTATAGTAAAATTTGGCTATCTTTCGAATATGGTAACAGGTAGTTTGGCGACATTTTGGTAAGGCGATAAAGGTTACTAGCTAGGACTTTAGTAGAGTACATGGATAAAGTAAAGAGTGTGCGCAATGCCATTTTTGTGCAATTCTGCAATATTTTTTAAGTGAAAATAGGTCGATGTGTACATGGATGATACCGTGTATGTGCAATTCTTAAAAACGTGGCAGGCAGTGGGCGATTCTGCACTTTCTCCCAATTTCGCACCTAATCTTCGTCATGATTAAGCACTTTTGTTCCATAAAAGTTCTAACATAAGCTTAATTCGGCTAGCAGATTGTTGGAAAAAAATGTTGAGTTAAAAAAAAAAAAAAAAAAAAAAAAGCCTTTACTTAATGAAAAAAAAATGGCATCCAAAAACAAAACTAGCAGGTTGCTGTAGCAGGGTTGGTCACCAAATTTTCGCCAAGTTACCATAATCCAAAGATTAACCCAAAATTTAACCTGCCCTGTAATATGAACATTAATTAATCTAAATATTTTATGTTTTTAAAGCATCATCAGAATGTACATAAATATTACATAAAAATGTCACTTCCTATCAGAAAATTTTGAAATTTTTTCATTGTTCTATGAAAAATAAGATAAGCTGTTACATATGTAAATATCTGGTACTATTTGGTTTCGAGGGGCGTAAAAAATCGCCAAACTATTGTTGATGCCAATGCTGCCAAAAATAATTGTGGCAAGAAAGGAAGTATAACAGTAAATAACTATCTAAGCTTGATGTTTTAATTTAGATGAAAGGTTAATTTCATATACAGTCAAAAGTCGTTAATCTGGACTCATCGGGACTTTGGTGATTTCGGATTATAGATCATCAGTTTAAATCTCATAAGATGGCATGCAGAAATTCTAAAATTAAAAATATGAAACCGTAATTTATGAAATAAAGAACAATTATGATCTAAAGAGTATCAAAATTTACACAAAAAAAAAAAAAAAAAAAAAAAAAAAAAAAAAAAAAGAAAGCTTAATATTTATTTGTTTACTTTATTAAACATTTCTTTCAATGTAAGTTGTTTAAGTTGCTTCATTTTATGTGATAATACTTTCTCTTTAATTCTATAAACAATCATAATTTCTTGTTCAGTTACAAAGTTCCGCTGTTCAAGTCCGGTAATTGCTGTGCCGAGAATACCGACTAACTTGCCAATTGAAATTTTTTCGTTTTCACTAACCTCTCTGTCACCTTCTTCATGTCTTTATCCATTTTTTGCAGCAATTCCACTTTTTGTTTGATGGACATCGAAACATACTTTCGCTTTGTAGATCCTTTGGGAGCTCCAGCATCGGAAATTCTATTTGACATAATCAAAAGTTCAAGTTTACTTTTATAAAATTGCTCTTACAGTCTGCAAAAAATAATAAACCGGATCCAATTCGAAGATTAAGGAACAACACAATCATCAACATTAACTGAAATAGATAATCAGATAATTTTAGCGTGCACGCGAAAACGTATTTTGCACTTGCGCACACGCATATGCGCAGTCATAAAGGTCTTACGGGCACGCGTAAATGCCTATGCGCATGTGTCAACGCGGCGCATGCGCAGAAAGTTTTTAGCTTTAAGGTCCGACTTAACGACTTTTGACTGTAATACTTTTTTATTATTATAATTTATATGAAAAAGGCTAAACACGACTGAATGGAAGCATAACAGTAAATAACTATTTCAGATCATTACTATAATTTATATAAAAATTGCTAAACATAACTGAATGGATGCCTGCATCGCTATTTCGCTACCGACTTATCGCTAAAGCATAATTTCATCTCGTTGGTTGTTCAAACGTAATTTTCTATAATGAATGATGTTTTTTCTTTAAACATATTGTCGGTAAAGTGCAGAATCACTCACTTATTTGCTTGCCGCTTTTTACAAGAGTAAAAACAATTGGATTTTTGTCAATTTCCTTTTACTTTTTAAGTGAAAATAGGTTGATGTGTACATAGATAAAGTCAAGGGTGTGCGCAGTGCCGTTTTTGTGCAATTCTAGGATTTTTTTTGAAGTGAAAATAGGTCAATGTGCACATTGATACCGAGTAAGTGCAATTCTTAAA